TATACTTTTCCGTTTCATGTTTCATGACTGTCATATTTATCCCTTAACCTTAAACTGAAGCATCGGATATTTTTATTCTCGTGAAAGCATATAGATACACGTAATAAGAATGGAATATATAACACTTCATTGGTGCTAATAATACTCAGAATTCATGCTTTATCGGTAACGTCGGATATTGACACTAAAATGGTAACAGGGCTACGTACCCTATGAGCGTGGGACAAAAAAAAGCATTGGATGATAGGTCTATTCTGTATCTAGTCGGTGGTAATAGTTACATGTACTTATTTCTAGAATTTACAACAGATGGCGTTTGTTTCCAAATATTACAAATTGCGAATACGTAGCAATTCTATATCTCGACGGTGGTTTAAGAAAATTATAAATATTTAAGGCACATTCTCTGCAAATCGTAACTTTCATGAAAATACGTCACATTATCAATCGATTAGGGAACGTTATCTAGGTTGACACTCTTTAGTTTGCTTCGGTTAGAATTGTCTGTGCCGTAAGAGTTTTGGTTCGGCGAGGCAACGGTGTAATCTAAAAAATGGCATCGTTATGCGGTCGTGCTGTTTTCCAGACATGTCGACGCACATTCTTTCGAAGTGCTACTTGTTCAAAGATGCCGAAACGTAAATCATACATTCTACTTTAATAATTATTAGGCTTGTTCATTCATTTCAGCTTTTTGCGTCTTCATATTACGTAATATGATAATACACTTTATTATTCTTTTACCATTTGAATTTTTTTTTATGTACTATCACTTTTTGTCATAGATTTTACTGATCCCCTTGATCATGCAACTGGATTGGAGAAGCGAGAATTACTTGCTGCAGCTGCTGGCAATTTTGTAAGTTCCAATACAGTACTACACAGTTCTTACCTTCATATTGTATATTATCTTCAACGCATTGACCAAATCATTGATTTAAGCTAAGTGGATGTCATATCTTTCAAGTACCTTTATTCGTAATAATAGTGAAAATATTATGATATTTGTATTCTTATATGTTGGGCATGTATATAAAACATAATCTTTATCACCTCTGTAAATTGCTTTCAAATTTAATGATTTTAATTAATGAGGCTTCACAATTGTTACTGTTGTGTGACACAACAGGTTTTAGTTTTGTTATACCCTAATAAAAACTTCAATGTCACATAACTTCGTGTTAATACAAGTTTAAATCTTCATATCATTTGACATCTTGTCATATGTATGAAATAGCAGACAATGTTTATAGATGTTATATCAGTGTATTAATACTCAAATGTCTTAAACTTAATTTTGATTATTTTTTAATTACAGGACCCATATTATATGAAAGCTGTAAAAATATCACCAAATAGCACAAAGGAAACACCAAACTTAGTGCCCAGTGTATTCAAAAGTCGAATTGTAGGATGCATTTGTGAACCAGATGCATCACATGTAAACTGGATGTGGTTGCATGCAGGCAAACCTCGACGCTGTGAATGTGGCCATTGGTTTAAGATTACTGAAAAAACTCCTCTTTAATGCGATTTCAGATTAACTAGTGGATTATTTAAAACATAGAATTAACATTACATTACATTGAAGACTGGTTTCATTTATTATCCTTCCATGTCCTGTCTCTGTCTTTTGTAAATTAATATATTAGTAACTTAAATAATGGAATTAAACTTAACCATATAAGCCTTAAAAGTACTTGTTCATAAAATAAAGTAATGGTTATTGTATCCTCAGGAAGAAAGTTGTGAAATAAAAGGTCAAAAGAATTAATCTTATTCAATTTGCTTTATGTTTACAAAATTTTGTTGTGTAAGGGAAATTCTTTAAGGTTCATTAATAATGCACATACAACTACTAAAAATAATATGTCTTTAATAAATTCATCATAACTCTATACATATAAACATGATCTTGTATAAATTGTGTTGCTAAAATGTTAGCTGTACAAATTTTAAATAATTCATTATTAAATTTACATTCACATACAGTGAGTAATGAAAACATGAACAATAGAATAGTCAATAATTCACTAATGATACAAAAACTGTACATGCATTAGCAGATATACATCAGACAAATTTTGAATTTTACCCTTTGCAGATAATCGATGCATATATGTGTCCAGAGTAAACTATAAATGTGTGTATGCTTCCAAGTAGCTGTAGGAGAATCCTCCTACCAACAGTCCCATTAGAGTCCATAAAGGGTTCAGAACAAATGAAACAATATGTAAGAAAATTATATTCATTATAATAATGTAGTTATAGAAATTTGCTGTTTGAATATTTTCGTTACACACTGTACTTTATGTTGTATAATCAACAATTACCTAATTTCATCTAAGCAAATTAATATAAACAGTAACTAATTAGGAAATATATTATATCCTATTAATATACAGTGTTTCCTGGAAAATCTCTAAAACACACCTGTTTAATATCGGATTTAATTATGCTTTAACTAATCGATGGAAGTCCAGAACACACACACTGTCCTTACAATTGCTTATTTTATTACAAATAACAATGTACACTACACTACTTAAATAATCAAACAACGAAAAATATATAACAGTGGTTTTACTGTTCTGTGATAGCGGTAGACAAAGCGGAGTTTGTAGTAGAAAATAGCGGTCAAAAATTGCTCGGAACCACGACGGTCACCGGCAATTACTACTAATTACTTGATTACAAGTGAAAAGGGTGAAGAGCGTTACGAAATGCGAGAATTGGGAGAGTGTCGCGGCCACCTGTCGACGAATTACATAACCCAAATAGCATTGGTTAAAGGGAGATGAAACAATGATTAGGATAAAGCAGCGTTTACACTAGGCAACTTTTGGTTAACCGATCGAGTTGACCAATTTGAAGTCGTTCAAGATCGTCCGTGTAAACAGGATTTCAACAAAGTCTAAACGATTTTTCGTCGTTCAACTAAAAGTGCCCGTTGATCTACTTTTGGTTGAACAACCTGGTGGTTTTCAACTGTGGTTGACCGTGCAAACACCGCAAAATCGTAGTTGACGGGCGACTGAAACAGAATGTGGTTTCATGACATCGTTCTGAGACGGAGGGATTGGAATTCTCAGAATATAAATAAGTTTATAGACCTCCATCAAAAATAAGAACACCGATGAGCAAACTCGGCTTCTACTAGGGGAAAAACAAACCCAGTCAGCCCATAGGCATACGTATATAGACGGAGCATATGCTACTACTTTCGGGTAGGTGACCGTTGGATTGGAGGGGAAAAGGCAGCGGTCGTTAGAGGTACGTCGGTTAGCTTCGGATGTGTTCGGATGCATTCGGTTCGATTTAGTGATGGGCACCATCGACTAAATTAAACTATCGATTAATGATTATTTAGTCGCAACATACTGTCGACTATTTAGTCGATAGTTTTTAGTCGACTGAAATTTTGCTTTATAGGTTATGTATTTGTGTTATGTACATTGGTGTATTTACCTTTTGGAAATGTATTAGTTCATAGATAGAATTTCAAAAATATAAGTGGTAAACAAGTTTTTTTAAACAATTACTAATATTCGATTTTTTGTAAGCTATTTAATATTGGCACTTAAAAAATTAACTGCTCTAAATTTTGTATGAAAATCAATTAGGTTATAAGCAATAATTTGCACAGTTCTTGGTAATGCATAAAAAAATATATGGAAAAATTACAATTGGTTTGCATCGTGAAGAAAATAATCAAGATCCAGTCCATAGCGATCAATAGCTCGATAGTTCGAGCGTGTCGCTGGAAGCGACTAAATTTAATCGACTAAAGTAGTCGCTTCAAGCGACTAATATTAGTCGCCAGAAAGTAATTGCTTCAAGCGATTAATATTAGTCGACTGAAAGTAGTCACTTCAAGCGACTAATATTAGTCGCCTGAAAGTAATCGCTTCAAACGACTAATATTAATCGCCTGAAAGTAGTCGCTTCAAGCGACTAATATTATTCGCCTGAAGTTAGTCGCTTCAAGCGGCTAAAGTAGTCGACGATTGAAAAAGTTAGTCGACTGAAAGTAGTCGTTGGTTACTATCGACTTAGTCGATAGTTTGTAGTCGATGGTGCCCATCACTAGTTCGATTCGGTTCGTTATTAATGGCTGGTGGGCTGTGTGCCGTCCTATTATTTAATGCTTTATACTATTTATTAATTTTGTTAAATACATATATCTATACAAACTACATGACACACGGAATTTTTAACGTATAATAGGTATATTCTTTTCATCTCTCATAGCATATGTAACGTGATTGTATACCCGAATAGTAATAATACCGTAATGTAATTTATCGTAAAATCATGTTGAATACGTTTTTCTGTTTAAAGACCAAGGGATTACGATCACAGTGAGCAACTTCACTCAAGATAAAAAAATCGCAATCACGGTTGGAATGAAGTTAAATAACGACCGTGATCACGTGTATGGACCAGCTGCAACGGTTGTCAGAAACGCGAAATATATCACTAACAAAAAAATCGAATTTTGAAAATGCTTCTCAAATTAATATCTTCCAAGTTTTTAGTTTACTAACAGATTACAAACTGAAATTACACAATAATTAAAAATAAAAAGTAAAACCATCGCATCGGGATTTGAACGGGGAATCGAACGGGGTCTTCATCATGAGCGCGTGAGGCGTGAGAGAAATCGTGCTGCGCTTTCGGTGTTAGATGGCTTGAGATTTTTGACCTATCTTAGGCTACTCTGCCGTCGCGTCGGAAACATGTGATGTAGGACTTCTGCTGAGAACACCCGAAACAGAGCGCACATGATAGAGGTAGAAAATGCTTGTGTGGGTGACGCCGAGTAGGGCATAGTGGGGCAGAGCTCACGGACAGGGTAGAATATGCGCGGTGGAATACTCACAGGAGGCATGGAGAGGGTAAGCGCTCGCGTGGTTTTCCCACGTTCTGGCATCACTGGTTGGAAGTAGAAAGAGAGCAACAGAGAGAATAGAGGGGCAAGAATAGAACTGGGTTTGGCAAGCGTGGTGATTTTACACCTACCTTTTAACCGGACCGTGGCCGATTGTATTGTATCCGTTTCACGATACGTATCATGCTTGGTCCAGGTCGTTTCCCAAAGAAACGTGTATTTCTGTTTTATATACTATTACAACTTTTCATTGTAGCTGTGACAGATTCAGTCAACAGCATTCCGTACCACCAAAGCTAGTTTCCAATAAAGTGTAGATGTATCAGAAATATGAGTTTACGGAAAGTTGTGATAAAATCACAAAAGTTGTGATGTCGTAAAATTGGAACGTGTTGCGATTTAATAAATCTCTCAGTTCTTTTACAATAGTACGCTTGCATCGAGCAATCCGAAATCTTTAAGAATGACTTAAATGGATCGCGATCATTATTAAAGAGCTTCAATGCGCAATGTTGGATATCATATTATGCTGGATATGTTGGCTGTTTTGGGTGGGTCTACCGACACTTTCAGCCTATCCCGTATCGTCTTCGATACGAACAGGTATTTAATTGTCTGTTTCAACATATATTTTAATGACACCAAACAAATTAGAGGTTATTTCACTTCCGACAGATTTGCCATTCAACCACACTTCGTCAAAATGGGAACGATATTGGATACAGTATATGATTGGACTTTTAAGTGTGACTGCTGCAGCATTTACTTTAGTTGGATGTCTTTGTTGTCGAAGACCTAGACGACCTAAAGGGTTTGAGGTAATGTCACGAATCATAACAGATGTAAAATAACATATGAAAACCATTATGATTAATTATAGTCTAAAGAATGATTTATACATTTCTAATTGTAGGACAAAGCAAAACAGTACAAACAGGTAACATTGATGATACAAATAATTTGAATTTTGGAGCACTATTATTAATGGAATAGATCTTGAAAAGTTTATGATTGACTCTCTCTGTATGAATATTTAAGACAGAATGGAAGTAGAGCAAAACATTCTAGCTAGCAAAGATAAATAATTCAAATAATTAATGTAAGATATATTGATGATTTATTTAATTTAGTATTCTTACAGATGGAGTCATACAACAGCAATTTATTATTTCAAAATTTATTATTCCTAAGTATGTAGGGAACCAGTTCTTCTAAAACTCCAATAATGTAGTATAAACGTAATAGATTTTGTTTTATTGCTTACATTTCAAAACGATGGCATAAGTAGTGAAAAAAATTTATATTACTGACAATCAAAACTGTCTAACTATACAGGGTGTTCCAAAATAACTTTGACTCCCGGAAATGAGGGATTTCTGGGATGATTTGAAACAATTGTTTCGTCAACGAAAATGTTAACAGAGCCTCGGATAACATTTGCGTTAAGGAAATAGTTGTTTCAAATCATCTCAAAAATCCCTCATTTCCGGGAGTCGAAGCTATTTTGGGACACCCAAAAATACATGTAATATTATTTAATATTTAATGTATTTCAGTTTTTTACTTTATAGAATACTTGTTTGTCCATCTTTTGTACAATAATGTAGACGTGTGAATATATTCCATGTTTTACATTTTAGGAGTTCAAAGATGGAAACAACATTGGACAAGAATCAGCGTTTGAGCACTCCATGGAAGGTTTAGAGTTAGATGTTCCACGTATGTTAACCGTTACAGAGAGAGTTGAGTTTGAACCACTACCTGTGGATCACATTATATCTGGATCTAAGAATTCCTCAAAATCTAAACCATTACCACTGTCAACGACATTTTTTGAAGACCGTGATTCTGATCCTAATGCTCTCCCAGAACACTGTCGCGAGTGGTTTAATGCACAGGAATTGTCTATACCCAGAGAAAAACTGAAATATTTGAGAGAGATAGGTCATGGTTGGTTTGGAAAAGTTGTAGAGGGCCGTGCAGACTTAGAAGGATGTAAAAGATCATCAAAAAATGGTGGTGTTGTTGTAAGAATCCTGACAGAAGAAGCTACTACAAAAGAAAAAGCTTGGTTTCTTGGTGAAGTTACACCATATTTAAAGTTGCAACATCAAAATATTTTGACGTTATTGGGTTTTTGTTTAGAAACTGACCCATACCTATTGATATTTGAATCTTGTCCAGTTGGTGATCTCAAAGGTTTTTTGTTATCAAATTACGATCAAAAGTCTCAAGAAGCACTTAATAAAGAGAACATTCCGATTCGAATGGCACTGGAAATTGCAGCTGGTTTAAAACATATGCATAGTCATGAGTTTGTGCATACAGACTTGTCTGCAAGAAATTGTTTAATTGCATCAGATTTATCTGCAAAATTGGGAGATTATGGAACTGGTGTAGAAAAATATCCTGAAGATTATTATATAGTAGGAGATCGCGCATTACCTATCAGATGGTCAGCACCAGAAAGCATTGAATGTACCGATACTACTATTGAAACAAGAGAGATAACATCTCAAGCAAATATGTGGAGTTATGCAATTTTCCTTTGGGAAATTGCTACTTGGGGAAATAGACCGTACAATGATAAGAGTGACGAGCAAGTTATTCAAATGCTGTTATCTTTAAGAACTGATTCCTTACCGAATGGTATGCAGGCTTATTTAGAAAGTTGTCCACCAAATATACTTCAAGCAATTCATTTATGTCTGAATTTAAATCCACAAAAGAGATCAACTTTGGATGAGGTGAAGCAAGCGCTTTTGAATGAACACACAGATTATTTAGACTTTGAGCAAAGATGGGAAAATTTACGAATGAATACTACTAAACACATCCGTAGTGCTAGCTTACAGGATCTTAGAGGTAGCATTGATTCAGATTACTGGACTACTGTTGTTGATGATACACCACGGCAATCTCCATTTCGCCTTGGACCAGGTGAACCAGTGAAAAATGTACCAAGTGTTAAAAATGTTCTTGTTCATCATGAATCTAGTTCTGAAACTGAAGAAGAAAGTTGGAAAGGACGAATCGAGAAAGGAGTTTACACTGAAAAAGTAAAACAAAAATCTAAATCTGTTACGGATTTAATGGTGCTTGTACATATTGATCCTGATTCTGATGCAGACTTATCAATGGGAGCTCAAATATCAGAGAAACATGCAAAGAAAAAATTATCTGTTGCTGGCAGTGATAGTGACATTAGACATAATATTCATATGGATGAATTTGATGAGGCATTGAGAAAATTACGAGATCCTTTGCCAAATAGTACTTCTAATAAGATCAAAATGTTAGATAATGCAGAAAGGCCAACATTACTGACATTAACAATGGATCAGGGTCAGACACCAATTCTAAGGTTATCGTTAGATGATAATAAATCTACTGTAGAAACCGAGCCTACACCTGTTGCAAATACAAGCACAGAAACTCGTAATGATAAACATGTATTGAGACTTCTGTCAAAAGGAGATCCTAATCTCCCTCTTCTTCGTTTTGTACCTGATGACACATCCTCTTTTGAAATGTTACAACAAAAGATGGAGCCTCAATATAATGATGTGTCTAAACACGAAAATGATGACAATATTTGCTTTTCTAATAACTTTTCAATTAATTTTGAAACAGTTGAAAATAACTTAGTTGATGTTGAACTTTGGAATCATGCATTAGATTCTGCTTTAGAAAAGAAGGTTCCTGGTTTCTTGTACGAAGGTGAATTTAATGAATATACAGAGTCTTCATCTAAGCAACAAAGTGATGTCACACCAGAATTAGTTGTAACCACTGTATCTACACCACATACACCACAATCTCGTACAAAATACTCTGCATATAATGCTGACGACGAATTTTCTAATGGAGAAGACATGGACATAGAACGAAGGTGTGTACCTAATGATGAAGAAGACGAAAGAAAGCAATTATCTACTCCTGATGACGAGCAAAGTTCTGACTCTGGTTTCAGAGATAAAGAGTCTTGTGAGGAGGAAGAGAATGTTTTCCTATCTTCAGCTCCTTCAACTTCTGTTAATGATTCTGTTACAATTGCACCAATATCTACCGAAGAACAACAATTACAGATTTTATTGGAATTGGACACCATCCTTGATGCTGAGTATTATGCAACATTACAGGGTTGTGAAAAAGTAACAGAAGATTTACCCTCAATTAAATGTACAGAAAGTAGAACATTTTGTCTAAATGAAGACAAATCCAATTCTTTACAAACTGTTGATACAGTAGTTGAAATCGAAAATGGTGAAGGTTGTATTATGGATGTCAATTTAACAGAAAATGATACTATGAAATCAATATCAAAAGATGTAAAGGAAATAGAGGCAGAAAGTATACTTAAACATGAAGACGAGCTAGAATTAAAAAATCCAGGTAATATCATTTCCTTACAAAAAGATTTAATGCAGGATAAATGTGTGAGTACATATTTAGCATCAAATCAGTGTCTGCTAGTTGCAAATGAAAATAAGCAAAAAAATAACAGCACAACTGAAGATGACAATGGGAAGGAGAAAGAAAAAAAAACTGAAGATGGAAAAGATGTTGACGATACACATGCAAATGAAAGTGATAATAGACATGAAGCTGAGAACAGAAATCAAAATACAAATACAACTGAAACAGAAGATGAAGATAGTTCTACAATGAGTTTACGTAGTGATAATTCTTACGTATCATTTGGTATGGAAGAAGAGTTTGTGACAGCAATTCGAAACGAACTGAGAGAGAAGTTGCCTTGTGCTCAAATGTCTGTTATAGAACCTTTAGAGACTCTTGACGATGATGATAATCCTTCTATATCTAGTGATATAGATAATAAACAGTGGGACGATGATGATAGTGAAGAATCATCCAATCAAGGTAGTGGAGGCGTGGGTATTTCAATAAGGTATTGTTTTTATTTCTGATTATAGATTAAATAACGTAATACTGATTTTTAATTAGTTTAGAGTATTTATTTATAAAATTGCATTAGAAACATATTTATTTCATACAGGTATAATATATATGGCACTCCACTTAGTCCAATCCAAGAAGAACGAGAAAGTACTCTTACTTCGGAGTCTCTAATGTCAAATTCTAGAGATGCGTCGATTGCTTCAAAAGAATCAGTGGTATCAGATGATGTATTGTTAGTCGATACTCGAACAAATAAAATGGTTTTATTAGAAGGATTGGGAGAAAAATTGCATGACGATGAGCGAGATACAACTAATGGAGATCTTTCGGAAGAAGAAAATTTTGATTATAATTGTTCAGTAGTCTGTTCTCACGATGAAAAATCACATATCATGATTGGAAGTGGAGTAGCACCTTTGCCAAGTCCGGAAGAAGAATCCAAATGGCAACAGTTGCCTCCATCTTTTCCATTGCCCTTGCCTCTGACATTAGAGGATGGCCTAATGTCAACAAGTTTTGGAACAGAGCATGGCTGGGGTAGTCAAGATGAAGATGAAGAAGAGGAAGAAGAAGAAGAGGAGGAGGAAGAGGAAGAAGAAGACGAAGACAATAGTTCTAGTTCTGGGGAATTTGTTTGGAAGGTAATTTAATATTTATGTGTTAAAAAAAAACAAATTTATATTTTATATTTTATTTATTACATTATATTATTTTGTAGCGATACAATGAACCACATGTTGAGCAAGTTCAAAACCGAAACAGTTTGAGTAATGACGAAGGAACAGCTGTGCATGCTGACATTGAAGATGAAATGGATGCAGAAGAAGAAGAAGAGGAGGAGGATGAAGAAGACGAAGAAGAAGAAGAACAAGATGAAGAAGGGGATGCAGAAGAAGAAGAAGATGATGATGAAGAGGAAGAAGAATTTACACCATCTGCTTGGAATGCAACGTTAGCGCCACACCGTTCCGCATTAAGATCTCCAGACAAAACATTAAAATCCGGAGTAAGCTTTATGACATCTTCATTTCCATAACTTTTTCTTAATATAGTATATGCATTTTTAATTTTTCTGTCCTTAATTTTGCTGCTAGGATGAATCGGTAGGTGTATCAGTTATTTATATATAGAATAATTTATATAATTTTAATCTTCTTCTGATAAATGTTTCTATTCCAGATTTAATTTGAGGTATTTAGCAAATGTACTTTTTTACATATTAGATATATGTTAAATATAGATATAACTTAACCATTTTTATCGGATCGACAATGTGCGATTTGTCCAGGATCAAAAGAAGAGTGTTTGGTTCAAGAAGCAACGCTATCACTGCGTATACGAATATCCGAAGGAAACATTAGCTACCGATACTCAAGGAGAGACTACTACTACCTGGGAACCAACTTCATATGCTGGTAGAGTCTAATAGTTTCGACTATTTTAACAATTTAATATTACTCTTATGTGGTTATTAAATGTATATATAGTCTCTAGTAAAGAGATGAAATTTATATGTAACTTTACGTTTAGGTAAGAAAATTTTGTATGCATACTTTTTTTATTTTAGATTGGGAGGAAATGATAGATGAACCACGATTAGATCTTTATCCTCTGGATTATGATGATGGTAACCATACTGGTATGTTTTACTATTCCCTCTTTTTCCTAAATAGAACTGGAATATTAGACAAATTCAAAAATTACGTCAATTTACAATAATAACACTTAATAACTATTTTCAATATTCTGTCCAACATTTATATCTTCCTATATTCTGTATTTAATTCTATGGCTTTCTCCAACTTGATTCACACCTATTTTATATACTTGGTAAAGTAATTTTAAGATATGAAAAGATACTGAAATCTTCTTTTACTTGTTTCACATTTACAAGGGTTTATCTATTTAAGAAGTTCTGTAGTGTAATCACCCTTTGCAGTTATGCAGGATTTGTCACAATATTTTGTTCACGTCAACAATAGGGATTAATGTATCTCAAACTTGTTTTGTTGTCCTAATAATTCAACTCAGTATCATATAAATGTATTTTATAAACATAACTCTGTTATAAATTTTAAAACTCTAAGCGATATTCATTGCTATAGGAATGTGTATCATGTATAACAGGGGTGTCAAACTCATTTGAATCACGGGCCATTTGTCTGACAAGTAGAATTCTCGCGGATCGCACAATATGTATTTATATTATTTAGTTATTTCAATTTTTAAATTTCACAGTTTAGCCGAACAATCATAATGGAGGTCCCTATATGTATTATATATAAAAAAAAATTTTAACTGCTTACATTTTGACAATATTTTTAATCCATACAAAATATAACTTGTAGAGGTCCGTTTTTATCGTAGTATTTAGGCATTATTTTATAGTATTATGAAATTTATTTCCATTGTAGGAAACGAGGAATTTTTTGTGACCAGTTCAAATCGTCCATTTCAATTTCAAACTAGTGACAGTAAATACGTAAGTCAATTCTTTCCTGGTGCTTCTACATCAGCTAATGAAGAGTCGGACGAAGTAGACGGTAGTCGACAAGGAGTACAGCAAAATAGCATAGAATTATTAAATGATTATGGACACGGTCAACAGCATCAATTAGGAGAACTCAGACACACTAGAGATCGTTTAAAATTAAATTTGTCTACAAATGGCGCATCATCTTTCTCCGTCAAAGAGATAAAAGAGGACGATGTTGAACAATTGGAAGACAAAGATACGGAATCGGAATCAACGGAAAGTATAGATGTTACACAGGACCAATGCATCCCATCGAACTCCTTGAACCATGATCTTTTGCCAACGGTGCCTCTCCGTGATATTCACCAAGAGAGAAGTTGTGAACCAGCATCTTCAAAAATTGCCCAATGTGATAGCCAGGAGAAAGTTGAACCCACCGACAAGTGCAATGTTTTAATCGACGATTAATGCATTAGAATGTCGATAGAAAGACATTAAGAAAGGCTTATATTAGCTGAAGTCCGTCCGAAATAATTTCATTGCAAAATTACAGTGATCGCTCTATTCACCGAGATCACTGTGAAATTAATTTCGAATATTATACATATATGTATAAGATCTACGTGTACATAAGATGTAGCAAATTTTTATTTTGTGGCTGAATTTAATCGATTGTCTATAGTCTATTAAGTCTATAGCATTATATTGAAGCATAAAATTTTTCTTTGTTATATAGAAACATATTGATATAGAGCTTAATAATATTAACATAATTTTTTATACGACTAGCTTCACGGCAATAATGAAAACGTTTATCGCTATTTGAATAGCAGAAGCAGACAATCGATATGTAAAGGCTACATCAAAACTATTGAATGGTTTCGTTTCGCGTGTACATATTTATTAAAGATCATTCAATACATAATTGTTACCCAAGGATTAGTGCCTGTGTAAGTTAATGTTATTATTTTAGTTGATGATATATGACAATTATTCATATTGATTTTTGATTATTGTTACCTATAAATTTGATATTTTTCATTGTATTATATTAAGATTATACAAGCAGAAAACGGCTCTCTACTCTAAAAGTATTATAATGTCAAATAAGGGATGGTACTTTGACCGAGTGTCATTTTTTAGGAAACAAATTGTATAACAATTGAAGCACGTATGTTTTTTTTTATACATATGTATTGTATTAATGTTCTATTATTAGAACTGTTATGGGTACAGTATGTGCACTATTACTTCAATTGATGTATTGTACTAAATCAAGTTAGCAAAATATCAGATAAAACGTGCTACCATATTTTGTTATATATTACTTTTAAATATTTTTTAATAATGCTTTTTAAGCACCTATATTAGCCTTTTTAACAATTTTTAATGTTTAGATCATTTTTTTTACAAAAGATCACTCGGTAAAATTTGTATGAAATCTAAGTAAGAAAAAAAACGATATGTTTAATGTGGATATAGTATTAAATATTGAATTCACGAAATTGAATATTTATTTGAGTATGTGTTAAAAAGAGAACGACAAATACCAATGATACGTTAATAATTGTTAATCAATAATATTAAGCAATCTACACAAGGAAATAAGTTTTCAATATTGCTACAGCAAAAATAAATCATAATATATATATGCAGAATAGGTTACAATAATAACAAAACCCTAAAAAAAAATAACTTGATATATTTGGTATTTGCACAGCCACATAATTTCATTGATATATGTCAAACTAAGAATTTACATCCTACGATTACTGTTAATAGTACAGCAATTATTATGCGACTTTTACTACTATTACGATTATTATTCTTATTGATACTGCTAACTCTGTGCTCATTATAACATATAGAGTATTAATAGAGAACAATTAATATATTGTTATACAGAACAGAAATTTATTTGCTCAGAGCATGCGTTTCATTGTTATTATTTCCTGTACCGTTATAAATTCCGTAAGTTTATATAAACTGCATTTTATTTCCATGCATTAATTTTAACTTAATGCAGTAGTGATTAAATTATGATTATGCCAATCGAAAACCAGAGTAGTTTCCACATAATCAAAAAATTGGTAATTTTTATTTTGAACTGTATTATAAATACCTTACTGACAACAATTGTTTTTGTAATATATTTATTGTATGATATTATTTTATGTTTTACATTAAAAATTTATATATGTCGTTGACGATTACGCCATACAATAATAAGCCCTTGATGATCTGCAGATGCCAGAAGAGATTCATCATAATTGAAACATAATGCAAGTGTTGGTGATGCATGTCCCTCAAGTCGATTAACTTTGATCGCTTTCCCTTGTCTAGCTGAATCTAACAAATGAATTGTGCCATCCTCAGAACCAGTGGCTATTAAACATGTTTCCATTTGTGGACCAAAAGTAGATCTGACAAAATATTGCCTATAAAAAATGAATGAAACTATAATATTAACTACATTACACAGTATGGTGTGAGTGGTATTTACAACAGCTATTATGATCATTATACAACTTACTTATGTTTTATTGGGTACTTGGTCCAAAGTGATAATGAGCCCTGATTATCAACAATATGATATAAAAGTACTGCATTGAAAGCACTGCTGACTAAAAGTGCAGGCCACGGAGCATCTTTTGAAAACCACGAACGCCAAGAGAGACTAGTTATCATTCCACCAATTTCTTGTACTCTACGTAGCTTTGTTAAACGGCCAGTTCCTGGTTCTAATTGAAACGACATAATAATTCCCCTATCATTTCCAACCCATATCACTAAACCGCCACTACCTTCGCAAGTCAAAGATAAAATCTAAACCAAAATATATAAAAATTACTGTATATACATTTATATATTATTAATAGACAGTGGATATTTATACAAATTCGCATTTTTATTATTTTTTTTGTTAAACTTTCTATAAACTTCAACAACTAAATATTTTATGAATTTTATTACGATATTTATTTTGTTTTGCACATTCATATGTACTATACAAATGCATAAAATCCACAGTCTAATTATCATTAGATGAAAAAAAGCTAACTTTCCCTCCAATTTTACAAGATCCACCACGAGTATATATTCCAGTAGATATATTTAAGATCTGTACAAGTCCCTGAGAATTACCAGCAACAACTAAATTATTGTTGATTGGTATAAATCCACAACATAGTACTTCTGCTTTCTGTTGATCCTCAACTTCTCGTAAAAATGCTGGTGCAGCTTCTGTAGCTACATTCCATAGTCTTATAGTACAATCCAAAGAAGATGAAACTATAAGATCATTACTAATACTCCAATCTAACGCAGTAACACCTTTTCTGTGTCCCTGCAGCAGTGCTATTACTTTTGGTGGTGTGCTAATTGCCTCGCATATTGATAATGTTCCATCTAACGATGCACAACACAATTTTGATTTATCATTGTTTGCAAATTTTAACATTGTTACAGGCATACTGTGTTGATCGAAAACATGATGTACACCATCAAATGCAAAGTTTTCTGCTATTGATTTTCGTTGAATGCTGTGCAATTGTGTTTTAATCTCTAACTTCTCCTCTTCAGTTGTGTGGCTTCCAAGACTATTTTGTTCCAAGCTTTCACCATACCGTAAAAATAACAACTTTGATCTTAACTTTAAATACTTTTCACAGACTTTTGGATCTTTACAGAACTTTTCTTTTAATAACTGATTTCTACGACGAATATAAAGCAATAAAGTTGAACATTGCTTTGTGTGTCAAAACATAAGATAAATATACAAACCTAAGGAAGGTAGCTTGTTTACACGTTGTGCATTATATTTAGCATCAAGAGCAAATATTTGTTGATGCCATGGAGTAACCATTTTATGATATTTGTAAACAATAACACTATGAACTTATGATTTTGACACTGTTTTATTCACTATATATATAAATCAATATTACACAGACACCTAACCTAGTAAATAATATTTAACTTGCAGAAACGATAACATCAATTATTGCAGAAAGTAATAATGTCTCAAAAAAAACAGTTTTCTTTCTTATTTTTGTATATTCGTTTATTCATAATTTGTAAAGAGCACATTGTGAACTTCTGTAATCACTCATGTCAATAGTACTTTCTATAAAAACTGTCAAAAATTAATATACTCTCATTCATTACAATATTTTTAGAGCTGTTGTCAGAAATTTAAAAATTCCCCTGTCAGTCAAACCTGCTCTAAACAAATATTACTAGATTCTGCTGTAGCCTGATGTGCAGTAGAGATTAGAGATGGCACAAACTGCTACTTGTGAATCACGTTCGTTCCCAATCATGGTGATTTTTCACAATGATTCGCGATTTCTCGTGATCGTTTCTGATTGGTGCAGAAACCTAAGAGTTCTTTACACGCGACACATAATCTGTATATTTTATATTAACGACATCAAAACAAAAATTCGAGTTATATCGTATAAAGTGAAGGAATAATTAGAAACAATGAAGAATAATGAATAAAGTAATGATTATAAAGTATAATCTACATGTTACCTAGCAAATCATTCTTTTAGAATTCCTTGTTTTTTCTATTGATTTTTACAAACATGAATAGTAATGTAATTCATCGTAAAATCATATTGATTAACGTTGGTACGAGATACAAACAATTAAAAATGTTGAAAATCGCAGTTTTTCCCGACTTTCGATCTACAACTGTAGTAAATCTAACAATTCTCACATCTTTTGATGTCTGTCGCTCGTTTCTGTATTAACCGATTTCAATGAAAGTTTCAGTATGTACATAACTAACATAAATCTTCGATATGTATTTATTAAATTTTTATTATAGCCTCAGATTAATAAGTTGTAAAACACGACCTTTAATATTTTCTTCGCAATTCGGACCAATTGCAACTTTTTCAAATTTTTTTTTCTCATCATTTAGTAAATTAATGTCTCTAACTTCACAAAAAAACTCAAGTAATTTGGACCAATTTTAAAAGAGTTGTTCCGTTTTAAAGGGTGTACGAATACTTTTTACACTCACTGTATATTCAAATATATGGGGGAACGGATGAAAATGAAGAAAGAGCAGGTGACTGGGTGCTGTCTCAAGATTGTCAGATGACAACATTTGGGAAATCGTCGTATAAATAATATATATAGCCTACATATGTATTATTTTGTAAAAATTGTAAACATCAGTGAAATCATATTGTAAATACATATTTTCGAGAAATTTACAAAATATTTAATTGCCAAAACCCATTAGGTTATACCGTAAGACTGTATTTATAACGTTAAACTGTAGCAATCTGTGGTGACATGCACACGGCCTACTGGGTTTATCATAAACCGTTTATGATATTAGCTTATATTGCAGACTGCTCTGTTCACGGCAGTAAATCTGCTGTTACGTTCTACAACAGAGTTACTGTGTTTATGCTGTGAATCTGACGTTACGTTCTACAGCAGAGTTACTCTGTTTCTGCTGCGAATCTGACGTAACATTCTACAGCAGAGTTACTCGGCTTATGCTGTGAATCTGACGGCATATACATACAGAATGCAGCGACAGATGTATATGATTCTGAAGTTCTACCTGACCGACTATGACACCAGATGCCGCGCATCTGACGTCAGTTTGCTCATAGGGACAGCAGGTATCAAATAAAAATTACTACAATATATTTGTATGTCGCAAGGTTTCTTTAATATTGTATATTTATTAGTCTTAGATACTTCTATTTATACACAGTAGTAGCTATTATTAGTTGTTGTATTTTCGTTTTATAGATTAATACTTGATAAAATACAAAAATGACTAATGTGTTATAATTGTTACGAGAACAGACTGCTTGATCTGAATTTCACACTTCGTTTACACCCTCCCTTTTCCTAAAATATTTTGTATCCTTTTCATTACACGTTACACTTAATATCTTTGCCCCTGAGCTCATTTGAGCATACACGAAGGGTGCGAAACATTATATGACATAAAACAAGAAAGTATTTTTCGTCTTTTGGCTGTTATATTTACCAATTACTCGATTTTTTTTACGAGCGTGCATGTGGTGTAGTGTTGTTATGAACAAGGATGGCCTGAGGTGTTCAAAATACCTTCTATAAAAATTCGGTATTTCATTTAAAACCACGATGAAACTATAATTTATATTCTTCAAATACACTTCCAATTTTAGATGATTGATAAAGTATTATAGTTTAATATTTTAATTTCTTGACTAAAAACGTTTTTGAAATGATACTGTTAAAGCTTAACAACGATATATTTCTAACATTTATGATTCAAATACGTGTTAATAAATCTCTATCTATGCGTTTGTTTATGTTTACTAATGAAAAAAATTTTAGTTATACTTTAATGCTTCAGTTTCAACGACTTAAAATACTTTCTCAAAGCACTAGAGTTATAACATGCTCGATAACCATTAAAAATCGTATGTATTTTTGTAAGACCTTTATTTTGATCAAAGAACAATATTTCGTAGTTGAATCTTCGGAGCATCCTGTGGTCAGTAAATGTAATCTATATCAGGGCATTTTTGTGACGACAACATCGGTTATATTTCTCGAAAATTTATGATTACAGATTTACATTTTCATTTTGTTTTAAGAGAGCTATGCTACATTCCATCTTCCATGATTTTCAGAGGTATCCTATCCATACTGCCATTCTTCAAATTTGTATATGTTTATACAAATTGAATATATATATATATATATATAATGTATGTGTATTCATTTATATATATGTAATTGCTAACGCGATTTTACTTACAGTTATTTACTTCTTCTACATATCAGAGGTTCTCGATGTTACTTTGACGAATTACGATGAAACAATTTATTCTCCAAGTATGGTACAGATACTAACTACATAGTAAGTCGTAAAGATTTTAACAGCACCTCGTTGGAAATCTGTTTACGCTTATACTTTTTTCGTTCATATATATGTACTTCTCACAGGAGAAATAATTTGCAACAATCCAACAATCGACAGTGCAAAAATGTAAATGATGTGTCTAAAATGACTCATGTTGATTAAATTTATTACGTTTTCCTCGGCGTTAACTTTATAACTGTACAGTACGTTTTCTAATCAGCATAAATAATGTAACTTTTATCAGACGGAATCGACAATTTATGACAATTTAAGTAAAAATATTAGTCATCGTGAATGCTCGTTATCACTACGCTAGCATCGACGTGTTGTTCAAAGTCACTGTAGTATCAAATTTATACAAAAAAAAACGAAAACAAAATGTAAATACTGGGAGTAATCTGGTGATCTTCATCAATTGCAACGGAAATCTGCGTGTATGCTTCCTCGCGAAACCGTGATACTTTGACAATTAAGCTCACTCAGTACTGTTATTTTGATCAACTAAAATTCGTTTTTATTTATGTATTAACAAATATTACAGTTTATATTCTTTAAGCAGATCCTAGAAATGAGTACGAATCAAAAGCAAAAAAGTAAAAAAAAAATAAAAGAAAGAAAGAAACCGAAGAACTTACGGCGTAGACATATAAGATTATTATTTGGACTATACATCGTGTAAACATCGAGTAGAATGTCATAGTACGTGTATTAATTCTCCACCGTATTCGTAGAACTTCCTTACACGGTAAACTTGAAAAAGTTACTTTTAAAGCTGTAATAACTATTCGATAATAATTATAAATTATCTGTTGATAAAAAGCATCGTTTATCCATACCCAGACGTATCGTATTCAACCGTACACTGTTGATCGGAAATAAGAAATCATTCGAGTCTCTTTCAAGGTAATAAATCTGAAAGAGGCAATCAGTATATTGCAAACGAAAAGAATTGTCAAAGTCATTAATAAACTAAAGCGACAACTATTACTTTTAGGTGATAAATTATGTCGATGATATACAGCAATTAGTAAGAGTTAATGTATGAATAAGAGTAAGGTAAATGTACGTTTTCCGATAATATAACTTACAGTATGAAAGGATCGTAAAAAGTTATTATATGAGAAGTTCTGCAAAAAGCACAATGTTTGAACTCTATTATCTGAATTTTATTCAAGGCACCACAAGAAGAAAGTTACTGAACTCTGCTTGTCTCCTTAGTAATTGTGGCACTGTTTAACCTGCAACGCCGCCTTTCGTAAACATAAAATACAATTAAATAAGTACCGTACTCGATTTTCGAATCTGACATTTTTTAAAAACATGGTATGACGGTATCTTTTCTTTTTGGTTTAATAGCTTTCCTTTTTGTTATTAAAATATAACGTCGATAAATTCTGGTAACTAAAAAAAAAAGAAAAAGAAAATAGAAAATGTATAAAAGCGACCAAAACAAAGACACGTATAATATGGGTGCGCGTAAGAATGCAAAACTAGTGCAATCATACACTTGTTTTTTTTTTTTTTTAAATACCAAAAGTGACAACATTATGATGATTATAACTTTATATACCTGAAGTTCCATGGTTAAATACATACAATTATCGTAATTTACAATAATATAGTTTTACGTTTCATCACGAACGGGGTGCTTTGTTTTCATGTAAAGAAGCACTTTAGATGTTAGTGAGCCGAGATGCCTACATTATACAAAAAAACTATCACCCTTTGCAGTCGATGCAGTATATTCGCAATTGCACAGTAGTATACAGATAGGAGGAGATCGGGAGTAGATTTAACAGTCAATTACTCTTTTAGATCATCTTTCCAGTATTTCACACGAGTGTTAAGCTACTCACAAATCTTGTTTCGTTTTTTCCCCTTATAGTGCTTCAACATACCACATAATTCTGCTTGTCTTCTTCATCTTGACAAATATGTACGATCATGCATTCTGCGGGTTTTCGCGTTACAAACGCTATGCAGTTTATTTGGCACGAGTGCGCCTCACGTTTGGAAGAACTATGCAATTTTTCTGGCTGCATGTGACTGTTCCTAGTTCTTTTCCTTTTCATATTCGTAATTCATTTCAAGGAAAAATACACTGTACTTATACAGAAATATATGTATATACTGCATTATACACGCCAAAAACTTTCTAATACTTAATGAATTATAAGGAATTATAAGTAAAATAACGTATTACAGAATTCGTTTATAATCCAACATAATATTTCGAAGTACTACAAGAATAAAGAAATCAATAAGACTAATTTAAAAAAGGGGTGTAACTCTGTTTCTCTTTAACTAATCGCTGTACGAGATTTATGCAAAAAGAAATATTCCACCCTGGTAAACATAATTGATAAAAAAATTGCTTAATCCTTCCACATTTTTAAGGTTCATCATACATTTTATAGTAACTCGTGTCGTACCAGGATCATTAGTTTCACCAAAAAAAAAAGTCTTGTCTTATGTCCCTTTATGTCATTTCTGTTAATGTCCATATTTCACACCACCGTGTATCACAATGGCGAAGTTGTATCTTGTCTAAAATGGTGTTCCTTCCTCTCTTTTCGTTTGCGCAATTCAAAATTCTTTAATTGCTTCCAGTCCAATAACTAGGACTATATCCAGGCTTTGCCTGGGCTTTATTTTGGGAACTTGTATTGGACCTTTGGCCTGTGCTGCTACCACCATCTTGATGAAGTGGTTGGTGCAATTGATGAGGCATAGTTGGGATAAACAAATGCGGTGTTCCGTACGCTCCAGGCAAACCTGCGTTTTGATTTCCAGTAAGGCTAAATGGCGGAGGAGTTGCCGAATGAAAAGTTTGTTTGTCGTAGGACTGAAATAACATAAGAATATTGTTATTTTTTCTCAAACATTCATCAAACAGAATCTATTCATTTTACTCGATATACATATTTTATATCTCATGAATATATTTCTTTTTATTTCACATTTCATGGGATTAACTTTTAAGATCATTGTCTATTAACTAAATTTATGACTTTATGGTGATACAAAAAATATTTCATTTAATATCGACGACAACTTTTATAGACGAAATTAATAACGAATAACCAAATAATTATGAAAGTAAAAATTGCAGCAAACAAAAACCAATGAAATTGACGCAACTTTGTCACTGTAAATTGAAATTATTGCTATTTTTGCACAAAATTCAATAAAAAATAGAGGGAGGGGGGAGAAATTTTGATTTGCAAGTAAAATGAATAGACTATTACAACGAAGTTCATACGAACACTTACATTTACTTTACTAAGCGCCACGTGACTCTTTGGGTACATAGTTGCACTTATGTCGGTTGCAGAGGATCCACCAGTATTAGTATTTCCGGTAGATGTTCCGGTTTTACCAGTTTGTGTACTGGTATAACTGCTCCCTGCACCTTTATATTCCGCAGAAGGACCTGCAGATGCTAGTGCATCGTAACTTGCACCAGCTCCGTATCCAGACCCGTAACTTCCTGGTTTAGTGCTGTATGCACCACTATTTGTACCCGCATTACCAGCAGCAGCTATCTGCTATGATAAATTATTTTGATAAACGAAATGGAAATTTTTTTACTATAGTCACTGAAAGAAGAAACGATTCGTTCCGTGTAATTCAATTAACTTACAGGATAAATGGCGGCAGGAGTTCCGTATGGAAAAGCACCTGGCATTATTCCACTGCCATATGCAAAATATGCATATGTTGGAGGTAGAGTAGGATTCATCATCGGTTGCTGATGCTGTGTAGCGGTCTGCAAATAGTTCAAAGAAAAACCAAGAAGTGATTTGAATTTCGTATCGATATGTGGCCAGGTCGAAGGTATCAAAATAATTGACCAAGTATTGCAACAATGCTGTTAAGCTGATTGTCAAATCTACCAAGTGCTTAAACCTCACCTGTTGCGACATAGTAGACGGAACTGGAGACGCATTGCTGTCGTTTCTGGCGAACCTGGCGTCATTAATACTGGTATAGGGTCCTTGTACACTCTGTACTCCTTGGACACCTTGTACACCGGAAAGTGCATCTCCTCGTCCTCCACCGAGACTGGTAGCTGGGCCGGTTGTCTGATAGCCCAAAGCCGCGTCATAGTAACCAGTAGTTGGCTGCAGGTTAGTCAGGAAGGCCAAACACAAAACTACATGCATACACTGTGTACTCCAAATACAAGAAGGCTAACTAATAGCTAATTCTACGCGTACTGGGTTCAGGGTAGATATAACATGCGGCTTGAGTTGTACCTGCCTTTTCATTTTTAATCTTTCCAATTAAAAAAAGGAACGTATAAACTGATGTGTTTTGAATAAACTTGTAAATAGTCTGTCTCTCCTGTCTGCTCTTTTATTACAGCTAATTGTTGCTGGCGATAATAATGATGATAATAATGGTAACAATAATGTACAAAAAAAAAAGCACGCATTATTTAAGAAAGTGTGCAAACTAAAGTACAACTGGACCACTTGGAAATTACAACATTATGTATTCTCATACAATTTGAAATGCATGACATCAGGTATAGAGCAACTGAAATCATAAGGAGGAAGGACGAAAGATGTATAAGCTACAGTGTGTCTACGATCAAAACGGTACACTACATTATTATTAAAAGTCTATTTCGGAAATAATTAAACTTTCTAAATATGTTTTCCGTGTTGATCACAGGCGTTTTTACTTTTCTACGAAATAGTGTATCAGAAATTAAAACCTCTCCAATCATTGGTTCGATGCGATACATTTCACTATGGATAAATACAGTATATACTTCTTGTGCTATCATGAGGGCGTGAATAGGAATTCATAATTCCTTAAAAAAAATATTGAAGTAACGAGCAGCTACCAAGCATTAAAGAAACGATTACTTCAGCATTCTTCTTACTAGGTGATCATAACATAAAATAGAATAGCACGCTCCAGAGTAGTACACCCGAAATGTCTTCTTTGTTTCTGAGATGCATATACTAATGTTATTTCTTTACGTCGAATTATTTTATATGAATATACTCTTCTTAAAGTGTACATTACTCTAACGAAGCAGTTTAGTCGAATCAAGTACAAATTATATCAACAAGTAGGAATATTCATAATTTGTACTTAAATCGGTCGCAGAAATAAATCGATCGATCAAGTAATAACTGACCATGTGTGGTATTCTTTGTTGCATAAGCTGCAATTCCTCGTAACTGTACATTGGTTGCTGGAACGCGTAAGGTACACCTTGGCCCATAATATATTGATGACCTAGCATTGGTGTCATGCTGCCAGCTGCACCACCACCTGTCATATTTCCACTTCCACTACTACCCGTTACTACACCACTCGATGTACTTTTCGGTACCGCTGATTAAAAATCATATTAAAAATTTATAATTTTCATTTCATTATATAAGTAATATCCCTCATTTGGGTAGACATTCTACTCACCGTTTGAATTAGTTACTTTAGTTTGTGAACTATTTACGGAGGCGGAGCTCAGACCCAACGTAGGTGCCGTTGTAGTCGCAAGAGAACTGTTGGATGTCGTCGTGTTACTATCATACTGAGAATCTTTTGTCGTATTACTGTTCAATTTATGATTGTGAGACGCCGTTTGTGGTTGGCTAGCGTATGTGCCATACGCACTTGCGTACACCTAAAACGTAATTTTGTAATTTTATGCATATGTCAATTACGCTTTGTCACACAATAGATACGTTCCCGAAAAATTCATGTAAAAAATATATATATATTTTTATACACACACATATATATATATATATAAAGGAAACGATGTGTAGATGAAAAAATTGACGATTGTCTTCAGATCATAAAAACCAGTCAAAATAATATAATAAACCAACAAAGCATTTGTTTAATTCAGAGCAATTTCCTAAACAAATAAGTAGAAATATTTTTTCTTAGAATTAAAATTAAGTGAAGTTTTTTAAAATCGTGTAAAAGTAGAATTAAGTGTATTTTAATGTTAATTCATCTAAATTCATCAGAAGAGTAATTAATATTAAATTTAGGTAATTACAGATTGTGCTGCACTTTGGTAAGTTCCAGAAGTTTGTGTAATAGGTGATGTAAACGTTGTAGCAGATGGTTGGTATGCTTGTGGCGTCGACTGAAACGAAGACGATCCTTGATACCCACTTGTTTGATACCCTGTACTACTGTTTGACAGAGTATTTGTCGCTACAGACTGTGCTTGGTATTGTGACGTCGTAGTAGGTACATATCCTGTTGCGGATTGATACACCTATTTCAAAATAAAAATATTATTTCGATTTCGACCAAACATTCTTTAAGGAAGTTCAAAAAGTGAGAGAACTGAGCGAACACGTATCTGTCCAAATGTTATATATCATTTACGAAAATGTTTAACGTTTAACTAACACGTTGACTGCCACGGGAGTTTTATATGTTTTGCCCGTGGGGACAACAATAGAATTCTCATTATTATAAATATATAATGATAAAATGTTGAGTATCATGACTGTTATAATTGATATATTATAAATAAAAATATTACGTTGTAATTAAAATTATTAATTGTTGAATAGCGCATTTTTTATTTTACACTGTTACGTGGTTGTTTACGTTGTTCAACATTTTTTAAACGATGTCATTCCACTTACTTTAATTATTCCAAGATATGGATATAGGTATAGATTATAGTTGTAATTATTAAAAATGAATGCATAAAACATGTTTTTTACGTTTTATCATGGCTAGAATTAGTTTAGCACATAAAAAAAATATATGCACTTTTCTTGCCAAATGTCGTGATTAATAACGCCGGTGATCCGTGACCACCGTGGCCAACTGAGAAGACAAGTGCCGGTCACGGGTGACTGCCGTGGCGGTCAACGTGTTAAGTACTTATGATTCGAGTATACGGACCGATAATTTAACGTAACAGATGTCACATTTTATTTACAGTTTATTCGACACTTAACGTCTTGAGTTTGAAAACTGATATTTGTGTCCTTTAATCTCCTTTAATGGTAACTTCTTTCATTTTAAATGTTACTTTGACATGATTAAACATATCTGGTTTGCGACAAAATTAAATTCTGATAACGTTACATGAGACATAAAATTGTCTCTCTGCGACAATTTCCTTTTCTTAATAACAACAAAGTGTTTCATGTTACGTTTTTTGGTCAATGGTGTGCGTTTTCAATTTACCAAAACTTTAATATCTTTGTAAATCGTACTAGAAAACTTCTTGTTGAATTGCAATTACCTGGTTGGTAGTTGTTGGTTGGTTATAACCAGATGTTGCAGATGCTGGTGTGGAAGGCGAAGCTTGACTGAAAGTTGATGTATTGGATTGAGGGAACGATGATGAAGAATTGTAACTTGCTTGTGAAACAGTCGCCGTCGTCGAGTAACTGTTAGCACTAGTGCCTGACGCAGTTTGGAAAGACGACTGAGCAGACTGAGCATTCGTGGAGTATGCATTGTAGGTGCTTGGCGTTGCATTAGGTGTTTGAAACGTTGACTTTTGAGATTGGTAAGCTGTCGTCGTACCATATGATGGGGCATTTCCAGGTGAGACTTGCGATGTATAATCTTGTTTAGTTATATCTAATGTTTGTCCAGTACTGCTACCGCGAGTAGTAAAGCTTTGAGCATTTATTGAATGTTCACTCGACACTGGTAAATTGTCACTATTCGATAACTGGAAAAAAAATTATTATTTAATCGTGTGATAAAAGTATAAAAATATTTCTAGTACAGCAAACATTATTTACCATTTGAGAAGTAGTGTTGAAAGGTGTTGTTGAAGTTTGGGTTGTTTCGATGTCCAAAGAATTATTTGTATTGGCAGTGTTTACAGTATTGGTAGTAGAAGTCACATCCACATTTGTAATTGCATTACTTGCTGAATTTAATTTTTCATTTGCAGCGCCATCAAGAGAACCTGAATCGCTACCGAATTCTAAGGCGCCGAATTGTACGTCCAGAAAACCGATACCACTATTCACGGCATCGCCGGGCATTTCTACAGCACTGGATGGGATCTTTGATGGTGGTGGCACTCGTGGACGTTGTTTCGTCTGTCTTTGAGGCTAATATATGTACAAAATATTTAAAATAGTGTTCTATCGTGTAAAATTATTCAACAAAATAAATTTCATTAAAATTCATCATTCAATTACCTGATTAGATATCGATGACGAGAATGCTGTTTGTCCAGCCGCTTTTAAGTTTTCACTTGTTTGTTGAGTAAGTTGAGTTAAATACTGAGTCTGTGCTGCTGTTAATACTCCGCCAGTCATAGCATTTGGTTGCTGCGAAAGCTGCATCGTCGGTAAATTCAGTACAGGTTGTTGCTGTTGAGACTGTTGAATCAAAGACTGCTGTTGTATCTGTGGTATTTCCGATAATTTAGGTAGTTCCTGTAATTGAGGTGGGAAAGTAAAATATTTCAAAATACATTATAAATAAAATATCATATTGCATGAGAATCACTCACTTCTTGTTGTATTAATGCCAAATTTACGTTCTGATTAGTCTGCACCGATGGAAGATCTTGAGATTTTGGTTCTTCTATAGAGGGTGTAGGTTCCACTACAGATGTACTTGGTGTAAAGACTTTCGTGTCTGCCAGCGAACCTGTGTATTCTTCATTGTCCCAGTCTTCTGTAGAATCCAAATTATTCCATGCATCTATTCATATACATTACCCATTGATATGATAAAAATTTAAAACTAGAAACAGTAACAACTAAAATTGATGAGAACACTTACCCATCTTTGGTTCCTGAACAGCCTGTTGTTGTTCATCATTACCTGTCCATGTATCAATCGATCGATTAAAATTGTGAGGCGACGAAGTTGAAGATGGGTCATTACGACTGGCAAATGTTCTTGGACCAAGTCCTCTTCCTCCTCCTCTTCCTCCTCGACCGGGTCTTCCTGGACCACCTCTTCCTCTTCTGTTACCACTATAGCTGCCATCACGAACACCATCCTCCATGTTTCTTTCGTTCTCTTTATTTTCTCTGCCGCGCCCTAAATAAAGATTGATTCATATATAGAACTTTCATTTACATGATACATTATTCATTAACACATTCTACTCCGGTCCCGCGTTATTGTATTTTTTATATATAATAAAAATCCACAATGAATTTAACAAATTGCATTGTATGTTTTATTTATAAATTACAAAATTTCGGTTTAAATGGATGTTTGATCTTCGTTAATGTGCATATGGCGAACATTCTTTTTTCGAATGTCCATTGCTTGTATACAAACAATCTGACCACTGGTACTGAGGCTTCCACCAGTCGAGATTCAGCTAGCTTAGAATGTGTTAATATTAAGTTAATGAAAATTATTTATTTCTTCCACTTCGCCATACAGGATATCGTATTATACAGATTTTTCTTCTAATATTACTAATTCAGTGTTGTAGTAAAACTTTTATAAGATTTGCACTTCTTCAGTAGTTTAAGATCATTATTACAAATTGTTTTTCTAGTTGTACCAATTTATTACTAAAATTCTTGTTTCGATACTTACTATCACAAAAGCAATTCTCAAGGAAAGAACACTATTTTCATTATTTAACAAATAAAATAAATATTTTGAACTAACTCAATGATTATTAAATATGCAACATATTTGTAAACTTACATCCACGATTGTCATGATTAGCACGACCTCGCATACGGGGAGGTCCACCCCCTCGCTGATTACGTCTTTCATCCCAATCACCACCTTCGTCCTGACCACCGGAAACGTCCATATTTTGCTTAGAACCACCGGGTTGACGAAGCTTTTTCTTTTTCACTTCCCATTCTGTTTTCACTCCTTCCAAAAGATCATTAACAGCACGATCTAAATCTCCATCACTATCATGCAAAGCCATGACAACCTCATCTTCCGAGCGTCTGGTCATGTCCATGACCTGCTTTATACATTCCTTCAGATTGGGATCTTCGCCACTACCCATTCTAGTGTCAATGATTTGTGCATGCCATGTCTGCACAGTGTTTGGCTAAAACGCCATAGTTTTCAATACAGTCTTCATAACAGAATGTTAAAACTAATCATAAAACACCTAATGACAAAAGGAAGCTTCACTGACCTGTGCTTTTTCATGTTTCATTGAATCTGATGATTTAGTTTGATGATGATCCGATTTCCCATGCTGTTGTGAAGATTTGTTTTTGTTGGTGCCTTTCCCACCGGAGGACACCGATTTGTTGCTTGAACTCATTGCCAACTAAAATCCCACACACCTATATCACTCACCTATCACACTATATACACTCTCTATTTACAGTCTGTAACAAAACAAATATTTCATTTTGTATTTCTATTGCAACTGCATATTTGAAATCTGAATTTGGAAACATTTATCATTATATATTAACTGAAAAATGAAACCTGTAATTATATTGTTGTTTTATAATATGAGATTGTGTATAGTTTACAGATGTTTTATATAATTTTAAAGTTTATTTAGATACTATAGTTACATATACATTTTTTTTATCTTCAATATTGAGCAATATTGTTACTAATGTTTACTATCAGTGATTGAAATATAACACAAACCAATATAATTAAAAATGATCAAATATAAATAAAAAATGTCCCAGTATTTGAATGACAAATATTGTTAATACTTTCCATATATATTGCAATGGTTCTCATGAATTATTCATATAATTTATAGTTACACAAAAGCACAATGTATCTAAATCATAAAGTAATTTATTTTAACTTAATATTCTCTTTTATGAAGTGCAAATTTAAACTCACAAAATTAACATTTTTTTATAATGATGCAACACAAAATTAAAATAAAATTAGATGAGAATGTACAATTACATCTTTTGTATTAAAAGGAGTGTGATGAATATATTTACATAAATGAATAAATACATGAAAAGAATTCAAATTTTATGAAAAACTGTGATTGAAAATAATGTGTATACTATGATCATATACAACGATTACACAACCATAATTATTGTCATATATAATAATTCACATTAAAACTATACACCTTAATAATGTTCTTAGAAAGAGGATTCAAAATATTTTCAGAATATACATTTCCTACAAACTTGTTATAATCATGATACAGTTTTGAATTGAAAATAACCTAAATAGGAAAAACAGTTGGTGCATAAAAGTCTATAGAAGATCGTAAAATATGTATCAATTAATGATATCAAATTGTGATTATGAGAGCACATATGAGAAGACTTATAATAACAAAACCGACATGAAATCCAAAGGAAGACGAGAAATATAATTTAATCCTTGTGCATTCAGAAGAGATGAACAGGTTAGGGTCGACTAGTGGCAATAAATCGAAAATCAACCGATTTGGCAGGTACTTCTTAAAATAGTCACGTTTTTCCTAAAACGGTTGTCTAGGAGAAAAACGAATAACCAAGCGTCAGGCCGATATGCGGAATGATCCTAGGTCCTAGCCGTATCTGCGAGTTTCGCTAGATTTTAGAGGATTATGCTGCCCGATACAAAGGATGAGGCTCACCTAGAACGTTGAGAATTCTTGGAATTTTTGCAACACAAAAGTTTTCGGCAGACAATGGAACAACAAAAATGAAAAAAGATAAATTTTGACGTGCGCGGTGAGAATATGACGAAGGAGGATTATCGGGCGCATCACAAAAAACACCTTCTTCGTTGCGTCGTTGCCCGCGAGCGAGTGGTTAAAATTCTTCGAAAGGATGATAAAGAAATTAGCCGTGCGGGTTTTTTTTACTCCTGAATCAGTACAACGACGTTGACGTGGAATATTCTCTGCAGACCATGTGCACGGTAGACGCCATTTCTGGTTTTGCGAGGAAGGCTTGTCAACCATCGCCGCGGAGGAGCATCGATAGATCTCCGTGAGGCGATCGAGTCAAAGTATTCGCAAGTAACTCACAGTTATTATAAACGTTGTTTGCGTATTCAGAGGACACGTTCGGAGTCAGAAACTAGCGAAATTCACGACGCCTCGGCTTTTTCGGCCGTGGCGCGCGAAAAACCACGAAAAAAACAACGAATTTGCTCGTACCTGGTTAGTGCGCTCAAAACGCAGCTCGGTCACGTGACCGCGGGCCCCCCTCCCTGACACAGCAGCACCGCCTCTACCTCGACGCTTTATCAGGCTCCATCAGTGATGGGTAAATCCCCATGAAACCAAGTTATTTACGTTTTGCGTTATGTGTGCCCACACACCACGCAACACTGAGCACCTAAAAGGTGTCTTTTACGTGGCCCATGAAAGATATAAAATATCCTTAATCCTGTCTGAACAGATATCTTTTTGGCAGCCGAATGGATATCAACGGGTAGCCTTTCGGGATCGTTTGGATATTTTGTAGATACCAATAGTTATCTGCTTCAGATATCGAAAAGATAACTCTATCGTATCTGCTGAATAATTACAAAATAACTATGTATATAGTAGCATCAGAAGGATTGGGAAAGATATTGCAAAAATGTCTTTTAGGAATCGCGGAAGACAACATTCAGATATTCTTAGGTTATCGTTTTGTTATCTTATTCTGAAAGGAAATGGGAATTGTAAATTTGCAAAGATAATTTAAAATAAATATGTTAAAAAACTACTAGAATTACTAGTGGTCCTTGTACATTAAAAGCATATTTATTTAAAATTGTTTTTGTAAATTCAAAAATGTAAAATAATTGTACTGATTGATAAAAAAATTAATTTTATTTACTTTTTTTAAGGGAAAAGAAATTATTAAATAACATTATTGAAAATAAAATTATAAACTATATAAATAAGAAAATATATAAAATGATAAAAGTAATAAAAGTAATGACTATATCCAGTTTGGCTCTGATTCTTTTCTTCTCTTTTCTTGTCTGAATGTTTTTGCAGAGATTCTATCCGTGTATCTTCTGAGCCACTCTGCAATAATTTTATGTACTTCCGCTTCTCTGTACATGTATTTACATTGTACTACACCTGTAATATAAAAAACCAAAATGAAATTAATTAATTTGTAAATCATTAATACTATTTGAAATAAAGAAATAACAAATTTATAAACTACTTTGAATAATTGTGGGGAAAGTTGAGTGGACTTGTATTTTTCGTGACTCATGTCCATGTAAACTGTTTGGTAATTTCATCTGTCATGAGCTTAGACCAGTTTAGACATACATAATCCTTTTGATGCATTCTTTGTTTGTAATCTTTTCCTCCAATACTTGAAAGGTAAAGTAGGTTTTTTTCTAGGTACGTTTACTTGTTACATTATTTCTTGGTATGTGTAACAAAGTTCTTGCATCATATGGTAAATCTTTTATGCCTGCATCTTTTAAACCTCTTAACAAGTTACTTAGAGCATTATTTGGAATATGACATTCTTTACTCTACTTTCTCAGAAAGCTTTCAAAATCAAAATTTACTTTGTTATCATCTACTTTTTCATGTGATGATGTTTCATTTTGCTGGCTACTTTCATTATCAGTAATTCATATGTTAGAATAATCATTTATACTTTCCATTTGAAAATTTTCATCCGTCTGTTTTGATTTATTATAATCAAAATTTATTTCATGAATTAAGTCAGTGTTAATAGTTGTATTATCAATATCTTTTTGATTGCATTTTTTATACAAAATATTACGAATTCTGAACTTTTATATTGTAAAATACGTCGTTTTTGTTGTCGATTTGACAACTCAGAAAACATTCTCCTTCTATTAAGCATAATTTACAAATAAAATGAAAAAAGAAAAATACAAGTAAAAATAATGTAAAGTTATGTTATAATAAAACTACACGCTACACAATCAATACATGTATTAGAAAGATTCAACGTATATATTTCTCAAGAAATAATATTTTTGAAAAATGTGAAATTTTTTATTAAAATAGATACACAACTCCTATTAGAATAGTATGGTCAGCCGTAAGCTACTGGCCCTTGTCACCAATGGCGATAATGTCACATTTTTCGACACATAACGTATACTTCTATGTAGTGCTATGTAGTCGGCGGATAAAACACATTTTGGCGCTGGAGGGATTTTGAACCATTTAAATTGACCCCCTATGTGAGATTTGAATTTGGTATGATTATTACAGATTGAAGCAATCTTGGAAAATGTCAATTAATGTCCATTATCAAACAATTTCATAAAAATAAACATTTGAATTAAGTAATTAATAATTTTGTCAATCGATATCATCATGGAATCGTATATAATACAGGTAATTTATTATAAAATTTAACAGCATAGAAAAAGGTACTGAATTTGAGGTTATATTTATTGTAGGTCAGACGTATGTGGTTGAATCAGGACGGATATTCTTTAGCGGTAAATATATTCATATTGAAGTGACAAATAATATATACACATTGTGAAGGTTAAACAAGTTCTTCTTTTAAAGGATTTATTATCTTTGAGACACAGTCATGTGTCCATTGCTCAAATTGGATCTGAAGTTGCAATGACAAAGGCAATGGAACATTTGTCTGCTCCTCTTGATACCCTAGTACTTTACCATTTAAAGTAACTAAATGGCTTTTTTTGTGCTTATTGTTATAACTCATACAAATATTATTTAGTTACATTTTATAATGTTTCATGTTTTTAGAATTATAGCAATAATGAACAAGGATGACCCATTAACTATGTATAATTATCAAAGCTCTGCAGTACAGTCTTTGACAAAGATACTTCAAATGCAAAAAGAAGAGAACTGGATGTTACCTGTTATGAATATGATGTGTCTAGAATTAAGATTATTAGCAGTCTGCGCTGAAAATAGAAAAAGTAACAAAAACTCTAAACCTGGAGAAATATTAGAAAAGTGTGCAGATTGTTTGATGGGCTGCTTTAGAGTATGTGCTTGTGATAATCGTAGTTCAGAAGATGACACAAAAAGATGGGGAATGCTGGCATTAGTTAATCAATTATTGAAGATTTACTTTAGAATCAATAAGCTACATTTGTGTAAACCTTTAATAAGAGCAATAGAGTCATCTCCATACAAGGCACAGTTTGCCTTAGCTCAACAAATTACTTATAAGTTCTTTGTAGGACGTAAAGCAATGTTTGATAGTGATTATAAAGCAGGTAACTAGTACTGATTAGAAATCTGTTTGAATAAGCTTAATACATTGTATTTACAGTATTAAGCCATTTAATAATCATTTTAATTTTTCTTTCAGCTGATGAATATTTGACATATGCATTTGAGCGTTGCCACAAAAAATCTTTTAAAAATAAACGATTAATTTTGACATATCTTGTCCCAGTAAAGATGCTATTAGGTTATATGCCAAAGCATAGTTTATTAGAGAAGTATAATTTAATGGAATTTTGGGAATTAATGGAAGCTGTTAAGAAAGGAGATTTACACAATCTTGAAAAAGTAATGGAGAAACATGAGACTTTTTTTATAGGAGCTGGCATATACTTAATTGTGGAAAAACTAAAAATAATAGCTTACAGGAATTTATTTAAGAAAGTATATTTGGTACTAAATATACATCAGATTCCCATACAAAATCTACTTTCAGCTCTAGAGATGCATGGAATTGATGATGTGGATATGGACGAGACAGAGTGCATTGTAGCAAATTTAATATATGAAGGAAAAATTAAAGGTTACATATCTCATCAACATAAAAAGTTAGTTATATCCAAACAAAATCCTTTTCCCAAGTTGTCAATGATACCATAATTATTATTACTGCATTATCTGTATCTTTTTAAATAAATAATTGAAAGTTGAAGAAAATTGTATTTTTTAAAAACCATATAATTAATAATTATAGGTATAAATATCTATTAATGGTAATGTGTATATAAAAGGAATTGATTAAATGAATTCGTGAAAATACATAAAAATATTTTTATGTAACTATTAATGGTCCACGATACATGTATTAGAATATTTCATCAAAATAAATTTTGTTCGAATGAAATTTCAATTGCACTACATATGCAGCGCATGAGGTCTAGTTTGCATGATATCCAATGATATCGGTTGTTGAGAAGGAGGTAGAACGTAAAGAGTACAAGACGAGAATCGAGCGCGACGTGCGGCAGAAGTGTTTCGTACTGTTGATTGATAATATTGTTTCATTGTGGTCATATATTCGAATTGCTTGACGAAGAAAATACAATTGTGGTGTTCTGTCGGTGTATCCGGCGATGAAAATTCATCTACAAAATGCTAAGTAAAATTGTTAACATGACATACTATCGATTCACAGCGTGATTGGTTAAGCCATTGTTCAATGCAAGTATGGCCGCCCTGCCATCACCCACGCAGGTATATCGCAATTTTTATAGTTTTATCGTGCTATAATATCCGATATGTTGTGTTTGTTGTTAAACAAATCATTTGTTAAATTTATTTTTGTTTTGTGTTACAGTAATTCTAATTATACGATATGTATTCTTACAATTGCCATACTTGTAAAGTCGGTTACTTTAACTTCTTTGACAGCACAAATAATCTTTGGGTACATCTGTGATAAATGTAATATTTTTTCTCTATGTTTTTGATAAATATACAGCGTAATCTTTATAAACAGTACGCTATAAAACATATTAATTCAATATTAAAACGTCTATCTATATATTTATGAATGTCAGTTATGATAGGCCGTACATTTCCGGCAGTTAAAATTTATATCTACTAATATCCTGTAATATGTTGGAGTTCATAATACAATATAAGGGCATGTAATAAATTAACTTTTACAGGTGGCTGGAAGCCATACTGCTATATATGAAGCCTACTACAATCAGGTATATTTTTATACATTTTAACATAGCACCTTTTTATTTTTGAACAAATATAAATTATCTTAAATTATATATAATAACAATATCAAGTTAAATATTAATATACTGTGTTATAATTATTTAAAGGTTGATCCAAATGGCTATGGACGAATCGGTGCGATGGAAGCTGCAAGATTTCTTAAGAAATCCCAGCTAAGCGATGTTATACTAAGTAAAATATGGGATATGGCAGATCCACAATCACGTGGCTCGTTAGATAAATCTGGTCTTTTTGTTGCTCTTAAATTATGTGCACTGGCACAAGCAGGAAGAGATCTTAATATGTCGAATTTAAATATGGAATTACCTCCTCCAAAGATGGTAAGCTGTTGCACACAGTAACATAACGAATAAACTTCACTTCTAATTGATCACTGTTATTTATTTTTAGGGTGATATTCCTATAATTCCCCAGAAAAATGTAGTTAATAGCTTACCAGTAATAACACCTGTTAATAATGAAGATTGGTCTATTAAACCAGCAGAGAGAGCAAAATATGATCAACTGTTTGATAGTTTGCGACCTTCGAATGGATATATACCTGGAAATAATGTTAAAGGTGTTCTTATGAATAGTAAACTTCCATTAGACACACTTGGAAAAATTTGGGACCTGGCAGATATGGATAAAGATGGTATGCTGGATAGACATGAATTTGTGGTTGTAAGTATTTAATGGTGTATGTATGTTATGCAAAGTGAGTCATATAACTTGTTCATCCTGAGTAACTTCTACAGTACGTATTCTACGAAATAGCATCTTACATAGAAATTGGAACGTATTGAAGGGAACAGATGATGCCAAAATGGTTTCTTTGAATAACCTATTTGTTTAAGTGATATCAAGGTGACCTCGAATTTTTTAAATGGAATGCGTACCTTTTTTTATCAAAATTTAAAAGTCTAGCTCATTTTCTATGAAAAAGTGTTAACCTTTATTTGTCCTAAACCTAATAATTAGCGAAATATTTGCAAAAACGTTGTTCATGGTTTTGCTATTTACATACCTTAGTTATAATAGGTGCTCAAAGTGATGCCTGTTGACTTCCATACACCTGTGCAATCTAATAATGAAGCACAAAAATTGTCCATTTCTTACCATTTCATAGTTTAATTTTAATTTGTCTCTGTAAATAATAACCATATAGGCACATATTAATGACAGTTGCCCTGCATATTTTGCATGGCTATCAGGAGTTCTACAAATGCTGCTTCGTAATCAGTGGATTGGTTGTGGTGGACAATTCTTATGGCCACTACAATCTCTGGACTTGATACTGCTAGATCATTTCCTATGGGGTATAATAGAAAGTAAAGTTAATTGTGATCCACTAACGACAGTAAAAGACATGAAAAACCAAATTATTGAAACCTGTGTAACATTTACTACAGTAACAATTGAATCTGTAATGTTGTCATTAATTAACAGTTTTCATATGTATACAGAAGTCAATGGGCATCACTTCGAACACCTACTGTCACTAAGCTAAGTAGTGAGACTATGAACAACGTTTTTGCAAATATCTCGCTAATTATTATGTTTAGGACAAATATAGGTTAATATTTTCTTATAGAAAATTTACAGCTCTCTTAAATTTTGATACAGAAAGGTACGCATTCCAATTAAAAAACTCATGGTCACCTAGAGATCTTGTAAACAAATAGGTTTTTAAACAAACCGTTTCAGCATTGTATATTCTCTTAGATATTGTGCAGTTTCTATATAAAACACGTTTTCGTAGAACACATACTGTAGAAGATGTTCAGGTTGGACAAGTTATATAACTCACCCTGTATATGGCAACCTGACTATTACAAATTTATTTACGTTTCCTATTTTAACACATTATATGTGTTTTCTAAATAGGCTATGCATCTGGTATATAAAGCATTAGAGAAATATGCAATACCAAGTGCACTTCCACCAGAGTTAATGCCACCTGGTAAAAGAAAAGATATTACTATACCAGTATCAAAGTCTCCTGCACCTATAGGAATGACAACTGCCCCACCACCTATTCCACCTTTACCTAATGTATCAGCTGTACAAAGTATGGCTGGTTTGGACATGGCTAAGGTATTTTGCATACGATAAAATATAGAAAGTAACCACAATTTTGAAGATTGTTTATGTAATGGAAAAATGTATGATACAGACAAGCGTGCAATGGGTAGTCTCTGCTGAAGAGCAAATAGCAGCAGAGAAGATGTTTTTGCAAAGTGATTTAGATATGGATGGCTTTGTCTCGGGTATAGAAATTAAAGATGTCTTCCTTCAAAGTGGACTTCCACAGACTGATTTGGCTATTATATGGTATCTATATTTCATTCTTTCATTCTGTATCTATATTTCATTCTTTCATTTGTTGATCGTTTATGAGTAAAACATAAAAGATGTTTCATAATTTAGGAACCTCTGTGACATATGTCAAAGTGGAAAGTTCAATAGAGAACAATTTGCTTTAGCCATATGGTTCATCAATCAAAGACTTAAAGGTGTTGATCTACCAGCAACTTTGCTTCCTGAAATGATACCACCTTCTATGCGCAAATCATCAGATACTGTTATGGTAAGTACTTATTTATTATGTAAAGAATATATGTGATACAGCGTTTCATTATTTTATTTCAAATATACATGTAGGTGTAATTAATGTATAGTAAAGCGTTTACGGCCTTTAAATGCTCTCCAGAATACTATTAGAAATACGATAATTATTAAAATTACACCAACTATCATTGCACTATAATTTACTTGTAATTCTGTTTCTCCTGTTACATTTAATTTTATAACACCAGCAACTTCATTTTTTTGCCAACAACTGTGAACGAAAGTTAATAACTTTACGTATAAAATAAAAAAATTACTCAAAAAGTACAAGACTTTACGATTAAAATGTAAAACAGTCAAGTTCGTAACTTTAATAGTTGCGGAGATAGAAATTCTTCTATGAAAATAGTTTTTGTAAAAATCGATGAAAATTTCCAACTTTGAGGGTCCGTATTTTTTAAACAGTTTCGAAACTAGTGAAATGATAACTAAAACTCCCCCTATTTTCACATGGACTGTAACATATTTCAATTTGAATAAAATCCCAGAAATCATGTACAAAAGTGATCCACTTGGGGTGGACTGACCCGTATAAGAAATGGTTATTTAATTCAATTTTGCAGAAATAAATTGATTTCAAGGTTACCTGTAAATATTTGCATCTTCGAATTTTAGTGATTTAAAGATTATATGCATTTGTGGATTCATATAAATCCTTCCTTCTGATTGGTCTTTGAGAGTAGATGGACTCAGTAGTTTACTATCTACTTTCCAAGTAATTGGTACATCTGTATTTAAATTTCTGAAAAATTCAAGATAAGAAGAATCGAATTTCGAATTAAAGATTGTCTGTTTATTATTTTACCCTGGGCATATAAGAATTGCTTCTTTCTTATATTTTTGGAAAATTATTATACGTATAACTGGTGGTGGTGGAACAGGTATTCCTTGAATCATAGAATATATTCCAGCACTATTATTGGCAGTTTCAAGCACATTTCCATGCTTATCTCGCACTTCAAATATTTCATTTTTTGAACATTTTACCTGTATAGAATGCTCCCATTGCGTAAAATTAGTAATATTTGTAATATCCATAATATTCATAATATTCATAATATTCATAATATTTGTAACATGTAACATTTACCAAAATGTTCATATTTAGAAAATTTGGAAGTACCTTGCAGTATCTGATCATTAGTTCTGTTTTTCTATTTTTAATATCTGGAATATCAAGAACTTCCTTCGGTAAATATTTACTTTTACATGGTAATTTATTTTTAAATACATGTAAAGCCATTTTGATTTTAGATATAATGTTTTCATTTAAACCTCCAGTTTGAGCTGTAACTTCTGAATTAGACTGCTCTGTTGTTTCAGTTTGTTCATCGCTTGTAACTTAATGTCATTTTATATAATTGTAATTCATATTGGAGAAAGTATCATCAGAATAATACACAATTTAAAAAGTAATTTACCTTGCCTTGTAACATGTTCACGTAAAGAAATAGTGCAGTATCCATGACGATTTTTTTTTCCAACTACATTACATGCAGAACATAGAGACCATTTAGTCCATGTTGTGTGAACAATTAAATTATATTCTGGTATAATTTTTTCTGGCAATGCCTGAGGTTTATGTGATGCTGTTTCAGGATATACCACATTTACTCCTTGGGAATCAGTATCAATTGAAACATGATAATGTGTGGATATTGTATCTCCCAATTTACACCAATATCGACCAGATTGTTCAGACTATAAAACATTTCACATTACTTCCATAGATAAATTATTTTTCACGGTCCTATATCTTTATTTACTTAGTTGAAAAACTGTATACTTTAATATTATGTATCATTAATGTTTTGTCATCAGGTGAAATCAAAATGTTGTCTGATTCTTCTATAAGTATATTGGTTTCATTATTTGATGTCATTGAAATGTTACTGTTGACATACCATTCGAAATTGTCGTTCGTGTATATTTCCATTGGGGAGATACATATTGGACATTTCAACCTATATCATAGGGAGTAATTATTACAGTATTGCATAGTTGCAACATAATTAACATTTCCTTGATCATACGTGATTAGTGTCCCTTGAAGAGCTATTAGCGCAATTGGATGCATTGTTTTTTCTGTTCCAATTTCACTATATGTTCTTTTCAAACATTCGTAATATTCTTGCCATAACTGTTTATGCATTTTTCTAAGTGTTTCATTTGCTCTTGGATATTCATAGTTATTGATGTCGAGCAGTAGTTCCGTCCCTTAACAAAAATGAACTTTTAGATAAATAATATAAGAAACTATTGTATTATTGTATCATAGAGTATTGTATTTACCTTTTTGTTTGTTAAATATTTCAATTACTTTTTCACGCAATTTATCATATTTTCTCATGAAATTGGTTCCTACTGTAGCATTGAATGCTATATGAATTAAGACATAAAGAAATAGATTAAATCTTAACTGCATGGTGTACATAAATTGCAGTATGTACAACACTCATTTCATAAAACTGTAATAGCATGAAGTTTGTCATGAAGAACTCTTTACTTGTTTATTCTTTTTATTCCCACTGGAAACACTTCTGTTTGTATGAAGATCAAAGAACCATGTCAGCAACTTGTAAATGCGATTTAAATGAAAGAGCAAATACCTGCTCTCTGTGTAAAAAGCAAAATAAGAATTTGAATAACCAAGATTTTATAAAAGTTATGCCTTTCGAAATAAATCGTGAATTGCGTGCATCTGTATTAAAAAGGGAAAAGGCAATGAATATTATGCTCGTTAAAAAATTGCAGACAGAAGCAAAAAAAGCAAGAATAAAATCTTTATATGGCACAGATGATTTTGAAAAAATCCAGCCTAAGACTCGACGTCAATATATCAAAGAATTTATAATAAATACGCTGAATGACAACACCTTTATTCCTATAGACTAACAGTATCCTAAATATAAGAGAAGACTTATAATTACATAATATTAATGTTTATTAAGGCCATTTAACCATATTGTTTCGTAATTGTACTACCATTTCTACAAAAATGGATTATTGTATTTTTAGAAACTTTGTATATTTATGGGGAAAAAAATGGAAATATAAATTTTAAGTAATAAACTTTTATGTTTAGGAAAACAACAATATATCTGGTTATTCAAATCCAGAATTAGACATGATAAGTAAGGATATAGCAGAGCTAGTGAGGGAAAGACAAAACATGGAACAAGATATTGCACAAAAAGAAGCTGACATCAAGATTAAAAACGGTGAAATTAAGAACCTGCAGAGTGAATTAGATACACTTGCTGCTACATTAAAACAATTGGAAAATCAGAAGGGAGAAGCACAAAAAAGATTGAATGACTTGAAGGCTCAGGTAAACAAAATATTGTAATTAGATACACTTAAGTATCAGCTTGCTAAATGTGTAGCTTGGCTTTTGTATGAAATTCAAATCATACGTATTTGTTGTTTGTATATGTAGTACTTTTGTTAAGAGACATGTAAATAATTCTACGTATTAAGTAGTTAATTTCAAATAATTTTTTAACATCATTATTTATGGAATAAATAATATATTGACATAATTAAACACATAATGTTTTATCATCACATTGTAGTATGATTATTGCCTTTTGATAAATGTTCCATAAAATTGTTAATTAATGAAAATAGATACAAGGAAATATAGGAATATTTTCTTTTTATCTAAAAAATGATATTAAGCAAGAAAAGTTACAGTGTGTTTATTTACAATATACAGGGTGTTAATAAAAATGTGGGGCACTTTCACAAGGTGGTTTCTATATGCCAAACTAAGATGAAAATCAAGAATGAGGAAATTGCGTCTGAGGCTTCGTTTTTAAGTTATTAATTGTTATACTACTTGAACATCCGATTCTTAACCGATACACGGGCTCCATCAGTGACCTAGTGAAACTAATGAATGAAATACATCGAATAAAATGAATGAAGCCAACTCGTGAAACTGTTGAAGAACGTGCTTCTTAAGTAGAATAACTTGTCGTGTCAGACGTATTTTACGTGTATTTCCCCCGTGTTTTTAACAATTAATAACTCCGAAACGAAACCTCGAATGCAATTTCGTCATTCTTTCGTTTTAGTTTGGCATCTATATAGAATCCACCATGTGAAACTGTCTAAGTATAGTTTATACACTAGTTATTTATTAATAACGAATTTTCAGTATTAAACAGTATACTTATATTATATTTCCGTGTATCTTTACTCGCATTTAATTTGCTTATTTAATATGAGCCTTTTCTTTGAATTATTGTTAAAAATGAATGTTTCGCGAATGAGTCCGTGATTGTCGAACTGCGCGCACGGCGAATTAACGTTGAGAACGCAGATTGAAACGGTGCGTTGGAAGTAAAGGATTTGCACTAGAATCCGGTTGTTTAACAGAATTGTATATTTTTACTGAGATGAGTACAGATATTGTCTAACGAGTTCAGGTGTCTATTAGTTTCTGTCCTTCTAGTTGAGTGTGTGAAATCGTGTTGGAGTCAGTTGATTTCCCTGGTCAGAAGAGGTGGAAGGTTTGTTGGAAAATTAGGCGTTGCTGGTCTCTGATTGGTTGTTGGGTTCTGTTGTTAAGAATATTCAAGTGAGTAAGAAGTCGAGGGTGATGAAGGATGAGCGAGTACAAGTAGGAGAGGCTGGTGGAAAAGGATGAGCTGAGGGTTGATGCATACGCCAGTGCAGTGTGATTTATGGTGCTGTTACGGTATAATTACGATATAATCCAGAGTTCATGAAGTAGGCACGTACAGTTAATTGGGAGGTTTGAAATGTTGTCAAAAGTACCGCTGTTGGACGGTCGATTGCTAGTACCGTACAAATGTGATCCCTATTATTCTTTTACTTATTTCTTTCCTTATATATGATTGAGTATACCCTCGTGAGGAAACTTGGCTTCTGCTAGGAGAAAAAGTGGCATAAGTGTAAGAACCTCCTACCACTTGATAAATTTAATTTAAGTACTGAAATAAATGTTAAATCGAACGTTAATTTGGCATAAATTTCAGTAATTCCCGATACCAAGTGGTGGAAGGCCTTATCCCTACGCCGCTTTTCGCCTAGTGGAAGCCGACTTTGTTCGTGGGTATATCCTCGCGAGCAAACTCGGCTTCCGCTAGGGGAAAAAGTGGCATAAGAGTAAGGGCCTACTACCGCTTGGTAAATTTAATTCAAGTACTGAAATAAATGTTAAAATGAATGTTAATTTGGCATAAATTTTAGAAACTTCCGAAACCAACTGGTAGGAGGCCCATACGCCAGTTTTTCCCCTAGTAGAAGCCAAGTTTGTTCGTCGGTGTACATGTATGACAAATTTTTATTGTATGTTAGAAAACACTTTTCAATAGATTGAAGCAGGGATGTAAAAGTACCATTTATGTAATAGCGGTTCGAAACCGATACTGGAACCGGTTCTACTTTATGACTGCTTTACGGTTCCGGTACTAGAACCGGTTCCACTTCATGAGTAACGGTTCTATAGTAGATAAGCGGAACCCTTATTCGGAAGCGGTTCTTCATACGCTCATTGGCTGAAGCGACAACATCAGTGGAAACATGTGCGTGCGCGCGTGTGTGTGCGTGTATGTGACGTATGTCAGATTTTTCGAGAATACTCCGTATTCTAGTATATTCACGACGCAGTTGGCGTAATTAACAAAACAGTCAAGAATGAATGTGTGTGTGCGTGCGTGAATTGCACATAGCCCGTAGCAAGGGGCTCTGGAAAATCCTGGAAGGTTCCAGATCTGGAGTCCTCATGCAGCGTGCTGTCTACAAGAATAATCAATAATTGATAAACAAAATCGAGTAATTAAAAGACTTGCCCTGTGCCATGGGCGATCAGTATTTTACGAGTCACCACACACAAAAAAATAATTCCTCCAATATTGATGTACAGGGTGGGGCAATAACTATGTTCACTTCGATTATTGCTGTTATTTGTAATAATATGAAAAAATGTTATATACAAAACTTACACGGTATACGGAATAGGGGCGCATATTGTTACACAAACATTTTCTGCGTGGGTGAAGGCATAGAGGAGATTTCAAGGTCATCTCTATTTTTTTTAATGGAATGCTATGTTTTTCTTTTCGCGATGTGGTAGCCGGTGTTGAGACGACTTCAGCGAGCTATCATTAAAGGTCATGAAAGGTCAAATGTGGTACTAAAATAAACTTTCTTACATTATAGGAGATGCTTGAAGTGGTGACCGTTTGCGTTAATGCAAAGTTGCAATCATCGTATCGCTGCATCACGTGCATGTCTTATCGTTTTTGAATTTATTCTAGCACATGCTGCAATTATGATGCAGCGATACAAAGTTTTGTATATAACATTTTTTCATATTATTACAAATAACGGCAATATTCAAAGTGGACATAGTTATTGCCCCACCCTGTATATGGGGGCTTCTTAAAATGTCTGTAAATATTGACGTTCTTCAACATAGGCAGCAAATTGGCAGCAACATATGAAGCAAATTGGTTTCCGCAAACCTTGTTCCGGTTTTGCCCTCAATTTGACATAGATCATGTTGCAAGACTTTTTGCCAATTTGCTTTGCTATTTTGTTAGCTAGCGTTGCTTACGAAACCCAAGTCAAATACGGAAATAGGTGGCTATGGTTTTTTAGACAATTTTTGTACTTTATTGCTGGCAATTTGCTCGGAACTTGCACACAACTGGTTATCAGGGCGGTTCTTGAATGCAGAAACCGGTCAAGAACCGGTTCGGTTTTTTTTCCATCCCTGCTAAAATGTCCTAAAGTCGTTCTTTTGTGAGGCATAGTGAGTGTGTTGAAAAAAAGTGATGAGTGTGTCGAAAAAAAAGTGATAGTGAGTGTGTTGAAAAAAAGTGATAGTAAATATGTTTGAAAAAAAGTGATAGCGAGTGTGTTGAAAAAAAGTGAATTGTCTAAGAAGATCGAACGGAGAAATGAGTTACTTTTCTAGTATCTCTTTATGAAGCCTCTAATTCTGACGGAAGTCCGTTTAGAAATAAGCGCTTCTGCTCTGAAGACAGCGAGTGAAATAGAAAACGGTAGTGAGAGTCGAAGCAGCAAAAAAGATGTAAAAGGCTATATGTATATCCACGAGAACATACTCACGCAACAATGAACTTTTTTTATTTGGGATTCTTTGTTCATAAAACTTTTATCGGCATAGTGGTGAGACTTTTCTGATTAAAATGATACTAAACATGAAATAATTCGGATCATATTTACTTAACCAAGTGTTTCTTTCATCATTACATTTGTTAATTACAAATGATCAAAATTATATCATGTTTGGTATCATTTTAACCAGAAGAATCTCACCAATATGTTAATAAAGTTTTCATTAATAAAGATTCAAAAATAAAAAAGTTTCATAGTTCCATTTGTATTGTCACATCGGCCTTTTAAACTTTTTTGTCTACCTCAGTTCATCGTCGACTCAAGGATGGGAAGCGCACGTGTTTACATTGTCGCTCGACTGTTCCAAGGGGGATCCTGCCGGAATCGTCGAATGCGCTCAGTATTTTGACCCTACAAACGCCCCTACCCCGCTGGTAAATCGAAAAATTTAGATAGCCTAAACAAATCCCCGAGAATTGTACTACACGATGAAACAAACCGCATCGAAATTGATGCAGTAGTTCTTGAGGTATAAGCGAACAAAGGGACAGACAGACTTTCTTTTATATATTATAATATAATATAATATTATAATAATAAAGTTACGAATAAAACGGTTCGAATAAAAGAAGTATCTTTTATTCGTCGGATAATTTTCATCGAATAAACTTATTCATTCGACGCTCGTCGAATAAAGATACTTTTTTTATTCAAGCTTTGAATAATGAATAAAATTTTTTGCTCTTTTATCCATTATTCGAAATTTTTATTTATTATTCGAAATTTTTATTTGGATAAAAATTTTGCCCAACTTTGGTATGCATATAGTTTAGGGGCTATATGTATATCTATTCAAAATTTGATATCTCATCCATTTATTTCTATATCATTAAATTTTTAAATTCTATCATCCAAATTTATAGAGTGTTGTTACTGTATTTTTTATTTATTTTTATGCTACATTTAGTTTCTTTGTTATGATTTAGTTTTATTATGTTTGACTTGTAGAAGACAGAAGTAGATAAAGATTTGAGTGATGTCGAGCAGAAGATTCGTGAAGAACAAAGAAAGGTACATCGAAAATTTCTGTTTTTATTCACTGACAGGTATGATAGAGATATACAAATTTATTTTCTATTTTTATATAATCGATAAACTCGACCAAAATTTGTTGTACAAAGAAAAGTCTTAACTTTTCATAATTATTGAATAAAGCATAACAAAGATGAACGGATAAAATTCAAGTATATTTTTAACTATATCCATGTGTATGTACACATATAGATTATAACTTTTTAAAGAAACGGTTCAATCCATAATATAATATTTTATAAAAAGCTTCATTTGTTTTTATTACATTTGCATAGATGATGCTAGTGCTTTGCTGCAATGCATGGTAAAATATTTATAGCATAGGTAGCCATCAGAAAAGTTACATCTGCTTGCAAATCTTTACGTAAGGCCCCACTCTAGTGCAAATGTCAAAACCATATTCGAATTTGATTGCATTGGTTAATATATTTACGATTCTCTAGTATTTTTATGAAATATTATAATTTATATAATGAAGTAAATTAGATTTGGGTCTTAAATTTATGCAACTGTTTATGATAGTTTTTTATAATTTCTTTCAACACAGTTTTACGAAATCTCATGATACATACATAACATTATCATTTGTCATTAACAATGTATAGTAACATATTTATGAATTGAAATAAAATTATTTCCTACGTTATATAAATTTACTATTCTTTCATTATTAATTTGTCATAACTAATGCTTTGTAATTTTTAAAAATAGGTTGATAAGCTACGTCAGCAAGCAGAGGAACAGGAATCAGTGTTGCGTGCTCAAGAGGACGAACTTAATTCTAAGAGACAAGAATTGGAAGGCTTGCGTCAAGAGGAACAACAGTTAGAACAGCAACAAAACAAAAGTAGGGACCAATTGAATGAACTGACGAAAAATTTGCAAGACACTCAGTTGCAAATTTCTCAAGCAAAGGCAAAAATCACTCATTTGCAAGAACAGCAACGTCAGATGAGTGATGCAATTGCACTTTATGATTCTGCACTTGCGGCAGGAGATGCTACTCTCGTACCTGACACTAGTCTGCAATTTAATCCCGAAATTGAAGAGCTAGGGTGAGTATTTGAAACCGACATTACTTAAGTATACAATAAAAATGTTCATTTATCATAACTGTATTCATATACATGTAGATATGAAACAACCGGAAATAATGCAGATGAAACAAAAGAAACAAAAGCGGAGTCTTTCACTAACTTGAACGGGACAGCAGCATTAGATGGATTTGATCAAGATCCTTTTGCATCGAGTAAAGCTCAAGAAGCATTTAGTGCTTCATCACCAGATCCATTTGGAAATGCATTTCCATCGCAACCTACCTCTGTATGTGTCAATTTATTTAATTTCAAGCTTTCTCAGTTAAATACCATAATTTTATTTGTAACTGCAGGGTGGATTCACATCTGATCCGTTTAGTGCATTTGATAACAGTAATACAAAACAAGATCCGTTTGATCCATTTGGAAATGGAAAAAGAACTGATATTAAGCCCACAATTGCAACGGCAGTAAGTTCTAAAATTATTTGAATAATAGATGGTTAACTCTTTCGTTCCCAAGTTATTTAACAATTATAAAAGAAATTTTTTTGCGTCTAATGCCATTTTTCATTCGTTGGCATTTGGCAACTTTTTTTACTTTTATTACAATTATTTATCATAATTTACATTATAAAGTTAGTACGCGTTATAAAACCCGTTTTTCTTACCTTTGATCGTTAAACTCTCTTGAAATATTTCGAAGAAATTAGGGCTTTATCAATTTTTATTGCATTTTTTGACAATGCTAAACACTGAATTCTAACAAGTGAAAGAAACAAAGGATAATAGTGTACCATTTTGCCGATAAGATTTTAAATACATATTAAAATTTGCATTTATAATACAAGATTAGATGAAACTATTGTATACTCGCAGATATGAAAAAATACACGATATACTAACAGTTTATTTCATAATTTATAATACGTAGTCATATGGCTACAGTGGGAACGATAGGGTTAAGTGTCGGTAAAGGTAATTTATATTAATTAATTTATTGATTTGTTCTGTAGGCAACAAAAGATCCATTTGGCGATGATCCATTTGCGAATCTTCATGCACCACCTCGCCCGGAAAGTCCTAGTCCTGCTCTTCCTCCTAAAAAGGCAAAACAACCACCACCACGACCAGCACCCCCACGACCTTCCCAAGGACCTACTGGTCCCTTAAGAGCAGCACCAGCACCGCCGACTCCGTCTCCTACTCCAGATCCTTTTGCAAATGCTAATTCTGATCCCTTTTCATCTCAACAAGGCATTATGGATAATAATAACGGTAGTTTCACCACATCTACTGGATTCGCTGACTTTGCTAATTTTGATTCCAAGGTATGTGCTCTTTAGTTCTCAGTTAAAAAAACTGATTTCCTTCCTTATTTTCAAGTGTTCCCATATATCGTCCTGGCCGTATCCCACTATATCCCATTTTCATGAGTTTCTAGTACGTTATATATTATTATTGTGTAATTTAAATATAGCTAGATTTAATGAAAGAGAAAATATATTGGCATGATTTAAATTATTATATTAAATTGATGCATAAAATTATGTTAACGTATGTCGAGTATTAATTATTACCATATATGTAGTATCATTCCAATATATTAGAATGTTATTTCGTAAAATATACTTATATGAAAAAGATTAATTATATTTTTTGTTTTAAATTTAGGTAGAGGCTGCACAATTTTCAGTTTATTCATTGACCTGGCTCCTGGAGCATGCTGACTACAAATCAATTTGTTCTCTTTGTTTCAGTATTATATTTTCATTTTATGATAATGCATGGCAACTTTTTATTATTTAAGTTTTCACACAGTAAAGAATATGTTCGAGTTGTGCTAATCAAATTATTATACTGGTACAGTTGTCCACAATTACTCTAATAAAGAGAGTGCACGTTCTTCGGGACACCGATTTAGTTCAGACTTTGCAGACTGGTAGAAGTCGTCATTCTGTTTACGAAAATACCCTACTGTAGGGTGAGATACTCAGAATCTTTTGAGATATTCACGATTAAAGTTTTCGTACTGCGTGGAAATACCGTTGAGTGAAAATAAGGAAGAAGCACCAATGTGAACCGTGAGGGTGGCATTCTAGAAAACCACGCCTGGAGTCTGGGTTCGATTCCCTGCATATGCATAGTTTTTTCTTTCAATTGTCTTTATTCCTTTTCGGTTAGCTGTATAAAATAGTTCAATGTCCCATGCAAATACGTATGGTAAATGTAAAATAAATTTTAATACAAATATATTTTCATGAAAATTTCTTTATTTACTGTATGTACAAATATAAAAATGGTACTTATTATTATAAAAAAAATAGGGAAAGCATAGTACAGAAAATACATGTGGCACATCGTGTAAATGCAAATCCATTACAGGAACACTTGTATTTTTAATATATCAATTAGAAAGCAGATTTGGCTTACATTTTGTAATATTTCTCTTTTGTTTTTAAATCCCCAAAGCAAACCATGCATACATCAACATGGGTTTAAAAATCGGAACACATAATTGGTGATGTATAAGCGAATGCATACGAATTAATATCATTCTTATTTATAATCACAAGTACCATTTTTGTACTTGTACATACAAGTAAATAAATTTAAAATCATAATAGTAAATAAAGACATTTTCATAAAAATAGATTTGTAATGAAATTTAGTTAACATTTACCATACGTATTTGCGTAGGATATCCAACTATTTTATATAGATAAATGAAAAAACTGGAAAGCAAAAACTATGCATGTGCAGGAAATCGAACCCAGACTCCAGGCGTGGTTATCTAGTACGCTACCCTCACAGTACACGTTGGTGCTTATTCCTTATTTTCACTCAGCGGCGTTCCACGCAGTACTAAAACTTCAACTATAAATATGTCAAATGATTCCTAGTATCTGACCCTACAATGGAGTATTTTCATAAACAGAATGAGCGACGGGTACCAGCCTATACAGTCTGCACTAAATCGGTGTCCCGAAGAACGTGCACTCTCCTTGTAAAAAAGTGTGAAAGAGTTTAAGTCATGCTCTTTGACACAGCTTATTTCAACGTCCACTTGTATTTTTCATTATGCTTTAATATGCGAATTACAATCTAGTTACCAATATATTTTTATTTTTGAATACAAGCGATTTCATAATTTCAATTTTCTTTGTCTTTTCTTTTGCAACCGTTTTTATAACAAAATTAAAGTCTGTCTACACGAGATCTAATTTAGATTAATTGTTGTTCAAAGATGTTCACTGTTATATGACCACTACGAAAAAAGGAAACATTAAAATTTCCTGAATTTTATGCGGACCATTTTGTCCATACAAGTGTGGAACACTGTATTTAAAGTTTCATCCTATAATCACGATTTGTTGACCTCTTATACCAGAGCTGCATAACCATAACCATTCTCATTACATCATAGTGCTACCTCACACTAGGTGAGCAGTGTTTCGGTCTAGTCATAAGTCTCAGAACTATGAGATTATAGGAAGGGAATATTATATAGTTTTATCATAAGTTCTGTTGAAGTCATACTTAATAAGTTATTGGGAATGAAAAATGAAAATTTTCTACTTGAATAGTTTCAACTAATCAGAATTGAAATTTATGATTGAGTACCATATTTATGTATGTTGTGTTATGTTTATATGTCTCAAACTACTTTTGTCGGAGCTTTGTCCAAGCCATCGAAATTTCTATGTGGAGCATTACAAGCTGTGTTCTCCAACTTGTGACCAGTTTATAAGCAAATGGGTTCAAATCTGGAATACCGGAGGACAATTTTCTACTGAAATGAATCCTAGGATCTTCTGCAGTCACTTCCGACAGGTTATCCGTTTGCGAGTTTGGGCAGAGTTTTATTGGAAAATCCAACGTTGCCCTTGAAAGAAAGTGATATTCAGGAATTTTAATATTCCTTCCAGTACAACTTGTTGGTACACTGGTCCGAATCCGATTTTTCCGTTTCTCTTGTAGAAATGAAGATGCATTGCACCAGATGCGCATAAGTCACTTAAAGATCGATTCTTTGACAATCCAGATTTGAATTGATAAGTTTATAATCTGTGGTTACAGTTGATGGACATAATCTGCAAAATGCATCACAGAAATTCGGATAGTCTGAAGTAGGCTCTGATGAAAACAGTTTGGGAAATACCAATGGGGGTATCGTACGTATCATAAGACTGTATCGGCCACATAGTTTGCAAGCTTGTAATTCTGATTAATCGAAAAAGTGTAATGTACTTGTAACAAAAGTCGAATGCATTTGTAAGAGAACTTATGGCAGGACTAAGTGTAATGAGATCAGTATGAATTAACTCGAACATTTTCAAGTATTTACAAATCTACTTTATAGCATTTCGACAGCAGTTACATATGGTCCAGCAGCCTGACGATAACCAGCGATTTGTCGCGTTATTGTTTCTACCTTTTCAGTAAACGAAAATTGACCAGTGAAAAAAACCTGCTTCAGCCGGAACCAACGCAGAATCGAACGGCACCACCCAGACCAACGAGCAGAGCACAGACGATGGTAACTCCAAAGCTGCCGGACTTCACAGAGGATCCATTTAGGGATTACCGATACGAAGATGTCTTTACCATAGCAGATCCCTTCGCCGACGATACCGAGGACTTTAACGCGAACAAGAGTAACGATACAGGCAAGATGGATCCATTTAGTTGCGGTACGTCTTCGGTAATTCCTCGGAAGAATTCATTCACAAAAGGTTTCAACGCTGACTTCTCGAACACATTTCCCCTGACTAAGAATAAAATCGATAAGGACAACGCTAAATTCGATGCTGATTTCGTGAAAGCATTCTCTGATGACAACAGAAATATAAAGGCCATTGAAACAGATGCCTTCTCGAACACCAAGACAAAGACGATCGACATTGATGAAGCGTTTTCAACGAAGAGCGATAAATCTAGGAAACAAGGACAGGATTCGATGCATAACAAAACGAAAACTGGTTCGAACGATAAAAAAGTGAAAACGTACATTGATAAGGTTTGGAACGACAACGGTGGACCGCTAGCGTTGACAGAGGAAGAACAGCTTGTATGGGCGTCCCAGCAGAGCTTGAAGTCCGAAGAGGAGCGACGCAGGCGTAAGGAACGAGAAGAGGAAGAATTAGCATTAGCACTTGAACTGAGTAAACAAGAGAAGTCTGGCAAGTTGTAAAGGCTCGGTCGGTAGAGTGCTTTTGTTTCGATTCGTTCAGTTGACTTGACTAGTATATTTTTCGGGCACAACGACTTTACGAGTCTTGATATGGAAATCAGGACTGGAGGGTACATGATACGTTCACTTCATACGATTGTAATACCTACTGAGATTTCGAGATCCACACTAATTAAGGCTATGAAGAATATCTGCGTAAACTGCAAACTACATATTATAATGCTTACTTTTAATACTATTTAGCATATCATAACTGCTGTGAAAACAGAACAGAAAATATTTAGATGGAATTTAGCGAAGCATATGAATATCCAAGGAATTCATAGATAGATGCATATATTATATATCATACAAAATCAACAAAGCATTTTCACTGTAATGTAACTAGTTCTGAATGTGGCCTTTTCGGTTTCATTTTTTTTCTTTCTTTTCAATCACTTTACATATGACACATTCGAAAAACACTTTAAACCTGGCAACCAAAATGTTCAAAGACGCTAATATTATTTGACTGTAATGAATTTCTATTGAATCCTGCACCCATTTCGGCACTTTGGTTCACCGTAGAGAAATCGATGGATTTTTGTAAAAACGGGTAAGAATTAAAAGAATACATTCGTTATTGCCTTGCAATGTTGAATTCTAAAAAATAACGACATTTATATATTCGTAGCTGGTTGTACATCTATCGTTAAACGTAAATTAACAATGTATAAAGGCAAAAATATAATGGCAGATTTATTGGATTGACAATAAAAACGTTGCGTAACACGTGGGGGTTTAAACTGAGGGGAATAATAAATAAATTGCGAATCTGCGCAACACGGGGAAACTTTACAACGGTCGTTGTTGTTAAACGTCCCGCAACTATACAATCTCTGTACATTCGCGATTAGCAGCGGAGCAACGTTTCTGTTTGTTATTTAATCTGCACCATCGCAAAACTATGCCTTCTGCAATGACACAATAGACCATACTCAATATGTCCCCCACCAGTATTCATGATCATGAAGATTGAGAAAAAAAAAAATGAGAAAGACTTCTGACTAAATGGATGTTAATAAGTAGAGCAACACTCACAGTAAGACGTATAATAATATGAAGTTTACTAAAGTCATCGTCATACGCTAATAATATCCTCTTAAATACATTATCATAGGATATAAGGAAAATTTTCAATCGCATAAGTTTCTATTGCAAAATACAAAGTGCGTGTTTCCATAATGGCGCAATAGGAGACACAGAAGAGGATTTTTGTTTTTCTGTTACATTGAATCAGGACTTCGACAAGCGGGTATGAGGAGAAAAAAAGTGAAGATGCTATTGATTAATAAATGATGATACTGATGTGTTACCGTTATGTGAACCGTTCCAAGCGACATGTTTGCACGAATGCCGTCTAATTCAGCCTTCGGTCTTAACGATCAGTATGGCTCAAAGAATAAGGTGTTCAATTGAAGCGTAGCTCCGTGTTTGTACCTTGAGCATCTTTGCGTCACGCGGAACCGTTGAAATCTAAACACAAACAAAGAGCCGCGCGGCTATCGTTACTTTTAACAAACTGTATCTTACGAGTTTACGACAACGTATTACACATGGTGTATATATTACTATCCCTGTATTATTTTATCGTGTTTATTATAATTGTGTTATTATTGTTATAATGCTATTAATTAATATTATTGTATTAATATTGTCGGTATTGTAGTGTCCACTTAAAGCACACACGGTGTCGATATCATTTACCAGTGAACAAGAAACATACGAACATGCAATATCATATTGTGCGTCGCCTTCTCCCAAATACGGTATTATTAATGTGTTTTTGGTCATAATGCTGCGACTGCGTTCCAAGAACTGCATGTGTATGCATGTTAACAGCAGGTACACATGGGAATACACGAGCGACCATCGAAAGTGTGCGCGTGCGAGAAAACGGAAACCGAATGAACGAAACGACTCATTCTGACATTATGCATTGTTAAGTAACTGGAGCAGATTTTTTTGGTCGTCCAAAGAGTAGAAATTGCAATGTATAAATACATTATTTTCGCAAAATTTTATAATATATTCTCTTCGTATTTTATGCAATACACAGGATTGTCTAGATGTCAGTGTAACCAAAACTTTGATAAAGTTTCAACAGATCTTGATTTTATATGGAAGTAAAGAAATTTTTCTTTCAATCCAGTTCCGTTTCATTAGCTCTGAAAACTCTAGTCTTGCATAAACGTCCGCAGTCTAACTATAAAAAGCCGAACGAAAAATACTGATACTACAGTTGTTTATTTATTGATAATCAAAAGTACGACTGATTTTTTTTACGTTGAAAATATTCCAAAGCGTTTAAACATACTCCAACTAACGAATTTGGAGTAAGGTGTCGTAACTTGCTCGACAGTTGTAATTAGGAACATTAGTAATCTGTTTGATTACTTTTGGAGCCTTGCTACCATGTTTTGACAAAATTCATTTACGTTGCGCTCGCCGCATTAATTACCGCATTAATACGCAAGATGAATATTTTAACTGTGAAACAGCATGTAAGCACACGAAGAAAATCGAAGTATATACGCAAACAGTGATTAGAATGTTTAGAAAGCGTTAGAAGTTGCGATTGCGAAATGCTTATCCTATACGTGAGTAGGAAACGCTGTTTTGCACAGTATTGTTTCTGTTAATACTTGATGGACGATGAGCGTATAAATTTCATTATTTTACTTCAGTACACCCACGAGCAAACTCGGCTTCCGCTAGGGGAAAAGTTGACGTAGGAGAAGGGCCTCCTACCACCTGGTATTGGGAATTACTGAAATTTATGCCAAATTAACATTCGATTTAACATTAATTTCAGTATCTGGAATAAATTTACCAAGCGGTAGGAGACTTTCATTCTACGCCGCTTTTTCCCATATTGGAAGCCGAGTTTGCTCGTGGGTGTACTGAAGAAATGTATGTACACTGTACAATATCGATACGAATACGTCGTAGTAAGATTTACAGGAGATTTGGGTTTTTTTTTACTTGGATGTAATCAGAGGGAGAACATTAGAAATATGGTTTTGTCGATTTTTAATCTACATTTCATTTCTTCACGGAAACGATGGTAAAAGCCTCGTCCATTAAGTTTTAACCACGCGTAATAAGAAATGTTAGCAGATAACCCAAACTGCGATTTTACTCATAATCGTTGTCGGGAAAGAACTTCAATGAAATCGTTGTTACCATTGTACAGGTGTGTAAAATGGACAGAAATATCATTCAGAAATGTTCTTTCGTTCATTTATTTTTGTTCTTCGTCTTTTTCTCTCTCTCTCTCTCTCTCTCTCTCTCTCTCTCTTTTGTATCGACCTATATTAAGGTCCAATATTTAATACGAATTTATTTATTGAGAACTTGAGCAGTTGTTTGCGTTGTTTCAATATTCTCGGCGAAGCATTCTTTCTGCATTGAACACGATGCCCGTGATATATGTTGTTCATTACGCATTATTACATTGTATTATATACCATTTATTTGTAATTTTTCCATTGTGTATAATTTGTTCGAAATTAAACCTCCCTTCACCTTACATCACGGTCCTCCACGAACAACCTTGCGTATTTCTTTGAGATCTTCCTCTGTGCGTTTCACATGTCCTTGCTGTTTAAATCGAAGTTTCGTAATAAGTGTCACGTTACTTATTTATTCGTTGTTAATTCAATGCCATGGAATCTGCGAGCGATATTACGAGTAGACCAAAAGTTCAGACGTTGCAAGAAAAGTTGCAGAAGAAGTCCAGAGCGACACCAAGTGTATTTTGAACGAGAGGAAAAATTAAGTTGACGATTTACCCGATTACTGAAAATTCTTGTACCCTAGTGCAAAGAAAACATGCGATGATAAGAGTCGTACGTGAACGTACTCTGATAATGTTTAATGTGTCATTAAACTTAATACTTGGAGAAATATTCATTTTCTTGAGGATGAAAAGTAGGTGATTTTTTTTAGAGAGAAACTAAAAGACATTTTGATTTGTAACTGTGTTCGTACATTTATACATGTTTAAGGAAGATTCGTAGATTTTTATATTAAAAAAGTACAATATCGAAAAAGGTATAAGCTCGAACACGGATCCAGAGTTGCTTCGTGATTGCCATTTTATTTATAGTAATTAACCAATCGACTTGAGCGAACTTGACTTTACAATCCGAACCAGAATTACGAAAATATCTTTAATACTATTTTTTCAGTAACAAATTAAAGTTGAAACCATCGTCGAAAGATCGACATTTGTAATTTCGTATACTTTTACCTTTGCTTCGATAAGAGTGACCGCCGTACAGAATGCACAGATGAGTCTATAGATTACAAATGATTTTGAATTTTTTATTTTAGATAATTTAGAAAAATTTAATGCTCATGTTTTAGCTTATAATTCTTTAAATATTAAATTTCTTTTAATACTAAAATTTCGAAAATCTTTCTTAAGTATGGCTAAATCTATGAACAATGTTACAGATAAAAATGTACTTTAATGTCATTAAAAGTATTACCTATTTTTCACATTTAAAAGAAATGAATCTTCAGCTCCAGGGCAAGCAGAAATGAAATTTAGAATTCTACACGGTACTCGAATGATTCTTACCACCTTGGCCATATTACTGTCCAGGTATAAGCGGCACGAATCAGTCGAGCATTGGATACAGAATGTGTCGTGTATAGAAGCCACGTAGGTTCCGTTTTTATACATATGTAACTATGTAAGGTTGACGAACCAGTGAATGAACATTATGTATAAAAACGAATAAATTCAGTTATTAATACAAGCAAATGATTAAATATTGATTTTTTTTTTCAATTCCTTGTTTCATATTCAAATAATTTTCGCGCCACTATGGTTAGAAAAATTAATTTACTTAATATTGTTCATTCACTCTGGTGCAATCGCTGTATTTCTTCTTTTTACTTAAAAAAGTATAGATCATGAAAAATCTCATTTTCGTGGACTAAATATCTATTAATATTACCATTTAAAATTGTACTTTAATTGTTACAAAATCTCTCTAGTGTTCATTCATCGGTGCACTTACCCTATATGTACAATTCGAAAAACAGAAAATCAATGGATGGATGTACAGCAATGTTTCGTTAACTTTAAGCCGCCGGACTTGTTACAATGATAATTACGAAAATCGTTGGAAAATAACCTTTGTTCTCCACGTGTAACCATCAAGCAACGAATAGAACGAAATGTGTTCTACAAATACTCATAAATAAGCAACGTTGAGCACAATTTTATTCGAATAGCAAAAATCACCGAAGACTATCTTCTCGGTTGTCAGCGGCAAGCTTTTGTTCGAATAAGGGAAAATCGATTTTATCCGAATAAAAATTCTGTTCAATTTTGTTACAAAACATTTTCTTTGTACATGTTATACGTTATAACGACGCCATAAAAATGTCATTTTCCCGTTGAGTTTTTTCATCGGGATATCGCATTTTGCCTAGAGGTATTATGTTCCTTCTTCGTTACCTATGGACGTAGCCAACTTTTCAATCATTTAATTCTATACTTTTGCTCAATATTTACTTACGTGTGTTTCTTAAAGGTAACCCTTTATTTTATAAGACGTAAGAACGATGCGTATGTTCGGTTCTTGTGCTACCAACAATTAACGAGCTATGTGGAATTCAATTAATTAAGATTAGAGTTGCCAGCTTTGCGTATCGCGAAAACTGAAGATCACGAGGGAAACGGAAAAATTGTAGTGTGTAACGGGTATCGAGGTGTCCGATATAAGTCTGAATTTCCAAGGGTTAGCTGAAGATATTATTTGTAAAATTCAGCCGAACAAATAATATTTTTGTAAAATATTGTTGTAAAATTGTCGGTTAAAAAAGGTAGAGAAACGGTGAAATTAACTGGAACTTGGAGCACCGAGCGGCAGCGGTGGGTACGCAAAATACGCATGGTATAATACAAGTATATATACATATATACATGTGTATTATACACGTATATTACGGTGATCCGAATCATACTGTAATTTACCTACGCAAATGACAGATGGCCGTATGGTGGAGGTATTTTTCAAGCGTGACTGAGATTTTTGACTTTTGCACTATGGCTGTTACAAGTCACATATGCCATATAATACTATCTATTAATTTTGCCATACAATGAAACAATTATAATTTTAATAATTTTACAGACAGAATATAAAAATTCTTTGCATAAGTGAGGTGGAATTTCTGTGCTCCTTGTCAATAATATAATTAGCATTAATTAGTAAATTGAAAATTGCACCTTCCATTGTTTGCTATTATAGTTGCAACATAAAATATACAATAATAATAACTTTAATACTTAACAATAGAAAACAACTTAAAACCACCGAAAATTTCACTTTAAATAATTCTTATTAAAATTTTTTTTATGTTATAATACCTTACTTAGATTACGATAAAGTAAGTTTATTTTATGACTTTGGTTATGTTAATATTTTATTACTTGTGTAATTTATGTGTAATGTACACGTAACATAAATAACTTGGTTTCATGGAGACTTACCCATCACTGCTAAGCGGTCTCCTGCCAAAAATTGGAAAGATGGCAGCCCTAGGTATTTGTTAACACATTGTTGTGCGCTCAAAAATATTCCAATACGCTCGTTACCTACAATTAGATGGTAACAAAAATCATTTTTCAATGCGTCCGTCGCAAATTAAATTTGCTGTTGTCATAGGTTGAAGCTCATGTTACAAACGGATCACGTTGATAATGACTACCTATACAGACAATTTTCGAATCGACGTAATTAATGATTTTACACCGGAGCATTCGAAACTTGAATATTTCGTTAACTTATTACAACTACTGACATCACAGTGGCACCGACATCGATCATCAGATTGTTTTCGTCAGACGTCGGCCGATTTGATTGGTCACTGAGGCCACGCAGTGCTTCCCAATACGTTGAAAAGTTCAGCCGATCTCGAGCGTCGGGCGAATCGCCCGATATCATTGCCACTCAGAGTTGGGCAAAATTTTTATCTAAATAACAATTTCGAATAATGAATAAAAGATAAACAAATTTTATTCGTCATTCGAAGCTCGAATAACGAATAAAGATAAAGTATCTTTTATTCGAACAGTTATTTAAATAATTTTTTATCGAGATAATGCCAATCTCTGATGCTACTGTAACCACAGCCTAAGCGAAAAACGTTACCACTTGTGTTAAATATTTAATACACTGTTGCACGGTTCATTGTCGTTTTTTCAACTGAACAACTTTCTTCGTGTCATTCGATTAATTCACAACAGTACGGTACATTTTTACAAGCATCAATAATAGTTCTTTCACTGTATTTTGCATTTGAGTACTCTTCGACTGTAACAGGAAATATTCGAGTTTCGAATCGACATTTTCAAATTGGACACACGCTTACCTCTTCCCCTCTCTCGTCTCGATGAAATACCGAGTTTACGATAAGTTTTGTTAAACATGGCCGAACAGCCACAAAACAGATAATTATTGTTCCGATGTTACAAGTTCTTATAGGCAAATACGTATATAGCAAATCGTTGTTTTACTATTATATAATAATATAATACAACCCCTTGTACATAAGCAGCGCCGGATCAAGGGGGGTCTAGGGGGGGGGGTTGTAGCTCCGGGCCCCACGTTCTAGGAGGGCCCCGTTCTGAAACTTCCATTTCGTTACGATTAAATGTTATTTAATTTTATTTAAAATAAACTTAAATTTTCGATCGTTTCAAAAGATTCTTCGTTTTCAACCAAGGGGGCCCCCGAAAATCTGATGGCCCTGGGCCACAAAAAGTCTTAATCCGGGCCTGTATATAAGTTTAAATATATGAATATCTGGTTCATGATGTGTATGTTATCCTCCGAATAATCATATTTTTCACCCGTTTCCTATTTTTATACTTTCCTGAAAAAAATTACAAATTCTCAAGTCTCTAAATTTATTTTCCGTTGTATTCATACTTTATTAAATGTTTTACGTTCAAAATAAGCTGCTTTCGACACTCCCGAAAATATATATATTATAAATGATAATTTTTCTCTTTACAGTACATTTTTTTAATTTTATTATCTTTCAGAAATACGTTGTAATTATTTATAATCTTTCAATATTTATGAGAATATCCAAACATTCAGTAATTGCTCTATTGTATGCAAAAAATGTAAAAAGTTATACAGACTCATTTCGATTATCGTCTAGCATGTTCAAAACAATTATTGTCCAGGCGTTTATAATCTCGAACTGTTTACTGGGAGATGTAATCGTTGCGAAAATAGTCACGTTTGCTGGTCATAACGGTTTTAAAATTGAGTAATAGTATTATTACCGGCAATAAAATAATGCAGTTTATTTACTTAATAATATTTTAACCTATAATATACACAAAACCTCATAAACCTCGTTTTCATGATGTCTTTAACAATAATATTGTTCATTGTCATTTAGTCAGAAATTAAAACAAATAATGAATGCAATAAAAAAAAAACTTATTCCATGTGGGGCTCGAACCACGTTCAAAAACTTTTCAGTCGAACGCTAACCCCGTGCACCAATAACTCTTGGCATTCGGGTAAATACTTTAGAATATAACCTAGATAGCTTATGACGCCTTGAAGACGCCCATTTTATGGCTATTTTAAGTCTAAGGCGCCTTTAAGCCGTCTTCGAGGCGTCATTAGACATCATGTGTTATCTGAAAATGGGTGCAATATAATTATAATTGAGTTAATTTAACTTCTATAATTTGCATACTGTTTTCTGGATGTAGAAATTATATATATTAAACCGTATAATATTCTTACTTAATAAAGGTAATGCAGAAAATCAAAGTATAAATTACTTTTTTTACGGAAAAAACGTTGAAAAACTCGGTTTCTGGTTTTTGCAACTATGACGTACCTCACCAAAAAATCTGTAAAAAATTGAGGACAATACTTACGATAATATATTCTTACTGTAATTATGTAAATTTAGTTATGCTTTAAAACTTCAATAATAAATCCGTAGTTTTCAACATTTTTTATCGTTTTTAAGTTTCCAGAAGTAAGATTTTCAACTATAAAATCGGAACAAATTCTATAATACGTGCCTTGGTAGTTACCATCTATGAGATTTTTTACAGAATTTTTGCACATCATTAAATCGGGAAAATAGAGGAAAAACCGATCATTCGAATTTTCCTTATTACTACTCTCCTGGTCAAGATGGAGGGTTGAAAATTGGTGCAGGTAGTTTTTTTATAGTAAGCTATCGAATGGTCCATTACCAGTCAAATTCGGTCTAAGGGCACTTTTAATCCCCTTATCCGACTACTTATACCATGTGCTCAATCTCCACATGAAAGCACAAAGCAATGATAATGGTTTAATTTTAATCGCGAAAGTAATTTAATACATATATCATATTCAGTATTGTTATATTTTGTAAGGAAATGAAACCCAGATACACATGACGGCTTGTAGACCCTCATTTTACGGCTGTTTTAGGTCTGAGACGCCTTTAAGCCGTCTTCAAGGTGTCATGTGTCGTCTGGGTGGAAATCTTATATGCTGTTTTAAAAAATAAAAAAATCGTCAAGTTAAATATGATAGACATACAACGAAAATATACATCACGATTTAAATAACAGAAAAATCCAAGTTAGTAGTAACTATTTGTTGGTTAAAAGACTGATATAATATTGCGAGAAATCGTATTTTTTTCTGAATGTCTTAAATAGCCGCCTCTTTTAAATGCGATATATGTTTTCTATTGTGATCGTCGTATCGTTGCGCATTTCGAGATGGAACCTTACTGAAAAGAGGATTGATCGGGATTAAAAGATTTGTCGTGTGTTTAAATGTACGGTGCAATGACCAACAAATGAGCCAATCATCGATGCGCCATCAAAGAGTATAATTAGGTGAATACGGATATTTTTGTGGAAGAAACATTTGGAATTTCTGCAGCAGCTGATGCATGTACAAAGATGGCCTAGCTCAACACAAACAAATAGTGACCAGCGACGTGCTGGTTTTACAACTAGCTCTGCATATTTGAAGTAAGTGAATACGATTCATACATATAATATTAAGAAATCATTTCTTTTTCAAGATTATTTTTATATTTGTTTCGTACTCACTGTTCTGCCGAGTATAGGTCGGTGTTCGGACACCTGTCCTGACCTGCTCAATAAGATCTCTCATTTACATCGCATTTACGATAAAAATTATATTTCTTTCTGGTACAGATTTTCTTGTACTCACGTTTATAATTGCGTTAATACGTCGTTCACTATTTTATCGAAGTTAGTTTGATAAATGATAAACTGTAAAATATATTGTCTTAAGTTTTAACATAAAAAAGGAAAGTCAACATTTATAACTGAAAGAAAGATTTTGTAAAATGTCCTTTGAAATTATCAAAGTATTGTTTTGTTACATACATTTACACAGATTTTAGTGACAATTTGTGATTTATTGTTACTTCAATTATTCTGTGTTTCTATTGTGACATTTTTTTATAGGCAGATGCTAATGAAGTTTAAATCATCATTCCCTTAAAAATGGCTTATGATCCACGTGATTTAAAATATTCATCAGAGATTCACAACCATCAACATAATCAGCCTAGTATGACTGGATACACATATCCTGCTCATACTCCACATCATGTTCAACAAACTGATGAAAATAGAAATGAGAACACTTGTGGAAATAAAGAAGTATGTCCACAGATAACACGTCAGTCTTCTGGAACACAAACTACTCAAAAAGTGGATGCAGCAACAATGACAGATCCTTTACAAATAGATTTTAAACTGACGTCTGAGTATTTAGCACGATGTTCTACTACATTAGGATTACCATATGTAAGTAAATACGAAGAGCATGGGCATAACTCTACCCATAATTGTCATGAAGTACGACCAAAAATTGAATATGAAGTTAAACCGCAATATATCAATGGTTAGTATTTACACAAAACTTTAATGGAGACTACATTTTCTTTAATATTCTCTTGGACCTCAAAGTAATAATTATAAATGTTACAGGTACATTAGTCTATCATTGTCCAGAATGCGCATACAAGTTTGAAGATCAGGATGCATTACATGAACATCTTGAAGATCATAGGCAACGACCCTATATTTGTGATATTTGTGGTGCAAGTTTAAAGCGCAAAGAACATTTGGATCGCCATAAACAAGGTCACAATAAAGATAGGCCTTATCAGTGTAATATGTGTTGCAAAGCATTTAAACGCAATGAACACCTTGCTCGTCATATGATTATACATTCAGGTAGCAAAAATCAAGTATGTACAGAATGTGGCAAAGCTTTTTATAGAAAGGATCACTTGAAAAAGCACTTGCAAAGTCATAATAGCAGCAGAAGCAAAACTCCAAATAGTTCTCAAAATAATCAGATTGGTCAAAATAGTGGCGAAGTTGAACAGTTTGCAATGATGATGAGGCAGGCTGGGCCCCCTCCATTTTCTATTTTGCGAACTTAATACACTTTTACCTTGATCTTGTATCAAGATCGTTTTATAATTTAGGCAATTTAAATGTAAGAGATTGATACAATGAGCTTTATTGGAGACACTTTCAGGAGATACAGGATAGTTGTTGATAGTTTTGAATTTTGCGGTTATATTAGTCATCAAATATTACCTGAAAATACGGTATAATATAAAACATAAGATATTCTTACAGATTTTATATTTCTTTTTTGAATACACTTCTGATATGTGCAATGTTCTTAAAGTATTTGTTAAGAACATTCAATAGATCAATTCGTGTCCCCAAGTTTTTTGGTTTTTCGGTAATTGACAAAAGTGAAGGCAATAAGGAATGCAAAAATTACATTTGAATTAATCTACTTTGTCTGAGAGAAATATTACAGCTTTTAAATATTTTCTGCTATGGTATAAAAAACTGAGCCAGACATTTTGTGAAATGTTTATTTGTTATTATGCGTGTAAACCGAAAATACATGATTTTGTTTCCTGCTGCATTAATGGCATCAACCTCTTGGATAATGTGCCTAAAGAAAGCAACACAATATTTGCACACAATGGAGAGTGACATGAAATTAATAATTAAGCGTAGTCTGTCATTTATGGAGATGTACTTTTTTATTTTTAGCAGGAAAGGAACATTGCAAATTATAATTTCAGGAAAAGTAATACATTTTAAAGAAATGTAGTTCTTTTAACAGTATACATTTTTTTCAAATACAGTTTGCAAATATACAATGTTAAAAATATCTGCATGACATAGACCGCTTTAAGAGATGAACTAGTTAAAAAATTAGTAATCTTTGTAAGACATAATTATGTAGGACATAATTATATAGGAAGGCATATTCAGGCCGAAACTGTAAGACATAATTATGTAAGACATAATTATGTCGGAAGGCATATTCAGGCAAGCGAGCGGTAAACAAAAATGCCGTCGAGGAGACCGCGTTGGAGCAACGCGACGGGATTTTGTTTGTTGTGTGAGGATTGCGTCGCCGGCCATACATTAAAAGAGATCGTCTAATAAATTATTATTTTATTTCGTTTATTACCATCTATTTATTTTCGGCCCCCCTTACATCTTATAAACCAGTTTTGCAGTGTTCCTTTACATTTGGAACTGAGATAGAATTCATTTCTATGACAGTAATATACAAATTACTATCAAGAGATGAATATGGAGGATAAAAATACGTTAACCAGTAATTTAATACTTATAGTTTATATAATGCATATGGCAGTGTGCATGTTATTGTATGTGTGTATATGTCAAAAGTGCATATAATATATACTACATGTTGTTATATTATATATTATATATTATGCGCACATTTACATATAATATTGTTACGTCGATTTTTCCCTTGTACATAATTTATATTTATTAACAACACTGACCATATATCGGCTTTATTACATAATGCTTCCAGAGTGTACATAATCGTACACACACGAAATATGGTAAAGAACCGTTTTGTTAATGGTTGTAGTAATCATGATTAAAATAATAAATGATTATTATATAAAATAGTAGATCTTTTTAATATGAATGTATACAATTATCCTTTTGAAAGTATTCCTCCATAGAAAACGAAAAGATTGACCCTTTTTGTGACATTCAAAAATTTAGCATGTCAAAAATGTTATCCTAAAATTATATACTGGAATTGTACAAAGTAATGGAATTAATTACATCAATTTTAGAGCAGCGCCCGTATAGAAAGATTATGTCTTTTAATTTGTTTAAGAAAATATCTCTCACATAAGTTAATTAATTGTTTTCGAATTATACATGCATATGTATAAAGTAGTTGCTTGTCTATTGAAATTTCTTAACACACAATTTTAATACTACATCCATATTAATAAAAATAATTTTAACATGTTTATACAAATTCAAATATTTACAGACTATTTGCAGAAATTGAAATTAAATAGAAAGGGTATAGCCGGATAAGGCAATGAAAATTGCTCTTGGACCCAATTGGACTGATGTTGAATTATTCCATAGTTTATCAGAAAAAAAATTTGTACCAATTTGCAATCCTTTATCTCGAGCAGGAGAGTAGTAACAAGGAAAAACCGAATTATCCATTTTTCCTCTATTTTCTATATTTAATCAATTTAATGGCATGCAAAAATTGTGTAACAAATCTGATAGATGGTAGCAGAGAGGAAATCTCGGATGGTAGTTACTAGGGCACGCGTTAGAGATTTTTCTCCGATTTTTTGGTTGAAAATCTTAGTTGTACAAAATTAAAACTGCTAAAAAATGCTGGAAAATGCGGATTTCTTATCGAAGGTTTAAAATGATTTAGATTTACATAGGTAATTACAGTAACAACATATTATGTATCATAAGTATTGTCCTGAATCTTTCCAGATTTCTTGGTAAGGTGTGCTGTAGTTGCAAAAATCAAAAATCGATTTTTTCCACGATTTTTCTGTGATTTTATGATATTCCTGTGATATTTGGACGATAGGTGTATTCTATATCTAGTCGGTGGTTATATCGTATACAGTGAAGGAATAATTAGAAGCAATGAAGAATAATGAATAAATTAATGATTATAAATTATAATCTACATGTTACCCAGCAAATCATTCTTTTAGAATTTCTTGTTTTTTCTACTGATTTTTACAAACACGAATAGTAATGTAATTCATCGTAAAATCATATTGAACACGTTTTTCTGTTTAAAGATCAAGGACTTACGATCGCAGTGAGCAAATTCGAATGATTTTAAATCACCGTTAGTGATTTTGACTAATAGACATATATGTATAATACGACTGCGCGGTCTTGTCTTATCATACGACTCTTATGGTAGGGATGAAGCGAGACCGAAGGACAGAAGTATCATTGGAGTAACTCCTTCCTTATTCGCACATTGCAGCCATTGCAGGGGCAGAGGGAGGGAAGAAAACGAATGGTGGTGGATGAGGAGAAGGAATGCTGCACGTAGGGATGAATCCAGATGAATCGATACAAGTAAATACGAGTACATTACTCGATACTTTTGTTTCTGTTTGTTTCAATACTGAGTAAACTAGGTAAATATAATTTAACCGATTTAACCTAACCTATGTTTTTATATTTATTAAATAAAAACCACCAATTTTCTTAAAAAAGATCCCTAAATTATCAAATAAAGTGTCAAGTTTTCAGTTTTCATTTTTGTTCTGTAAATATACCTATATCTTAAAAAATATACTTTCGACATTATGCTTTTACTAACGTGTTGTGGGAAATGTATATATTACCTATCTAGTAAATGAATATCAGTCCTAGTTAACCCCTTGGCCTATAATCACGAGTGAGACTCGTGGTAAGGAATTTGTGCCATAAGCGAAAACCATGAGTCTGACTCGTGGTAAGGAATTTGTGCCATAAGCGAAAACCACGAGTCTGACTCGTGGTGAGGAATTTGTGCCATAAGCGAAAACCACGAGTCTGACTCGTGAGAAATTTATGCATAAGATGCCGCGTATTATTATTTGAACCAGCGATTGGAGTTATTTCACATCGAGTATCTTTCCTTGGAATGTAACATCAGTATTTTGTTTTTATCATTTGTTTCTGACAAAATTGGATAATCTCTTACTTTAGTTCAGCGTAAGGCTTCGTTACGTTCACACGTTACAAATATAATTCCCTAAAAAGAAAAAAAAAATTCTTATACCCATCATGCCAGCAAAAAGAAAATCTAATGTTGATGGTAGTGGAGAGAAGTGTGGTACTATTACCGATTGTGATTCGGTAGATCCTTTTGAATATGATAGTGAGGACAGTGATATTATGGTTCCTGTAAGAAAACGTCCACGAAGATTAATAATTGAAGATGACTCCGATGATGAAGACAGCATTTATCAGCAATTATCGGAGCAATGGTTTTGGGAAGAAAAAAATAACAAGCCAAAAATCTGGAAGTATATACAAACTCCTGGCATAAGAGCAGCAATTTTAGACCAATTAGGTGGAAGTAAAAGAGAGTTAGACTTTTTTAATATAATGTTCGACAATGTGTTTTGGGATAATATTGTCCAGGAAACGAATCGGTACGCAGAAAAAATAATAAGCTATAAACATACAAGAAAGATAATTGATGAAACTTGGATCCCAGTAGATTGCAACGAAATTAAAATATACTGTGCATTATGCATAATAATGGCTCAAGTAAAAAAACCAAAAATCCAGATGAACTGGTCTAAAAGAGCCATTATAGAAACACCTATATTCAGAAAAAGTATGCCACTGAGAAGATTTTTGCAAATCACTAGGTTTCTCCACTTTGCAAATAACGATGTGACTGGCAACAGGAATAAATTACGTAAAGTGAGACCTGTGATAAACTATTTTAATGAAAAATTCAAAGACGTATATGTAATGGAAGAAAATATCGCGATCGATGAATCGTTGATGAAATTTAAGGAACGCATGTCTTGTAAACAATTCAATCCCTCGAAAAGGGCGAGATTTGGGATTAAATTTTATAAACTGTGCGAGTCAGCATCGGGCTACTGCTATAATTTTAAAATATATTCAGGAAACGATAAAACAAATCCTGATTACAGTGCATCTAAAACTTTTGTGATGGAGTTATTGAAATCAATACTAAATAAAGGACATACCTTATATATAGATAACTGGTATTCTTCGCCGAAATTGTTTCTAACTTTGGTTAAAAATGGAATAAACGTTCTTGGGACAGTACGTTGCAATAGAAAAAATATGCCAGGAGATTTTGTTCAAGCAAAATTAAAAAAAGGGGAATGCATAATAAGAAGCTGTAATGGCATACTATCGTTGAAGTGGAAGGACAAACAAGATGTCCATATTATTTCAACAAAGCACGAAAGTGCAGAAATGATTACACAAAACGAAAGTCACCTAAACCCTACTTTCAAGCCAAGATGTATTGTTGATTACAATGAGGGAATGATTGGTATTGATCGCCATGATCAGGTATTAGCGAGTTTCCCTATTATGAGAAAATTCGTGAAGGGATACCGAAAAATCTTTTTTTACATATGTGATATGGCACTTTTGAATTCATATATTCTGTACAACAAAAACAGTATGGCAAAGAAACAGAATTACAGTGAGTATAGACTTCGAATAGCTGAAGGATTATTACAAACCGTGCCATCGCAAAATTATAACAGACAAGGACCATTATCGAACGGAAATATACCAATGAGGCTACAGGCGCAACATTGAAGTCACTTTCCGAAACATATAGATCCCACGCCATTGAAAAAAAATTCAACAAGAGCTTGCAAAGTATGTACGAAACATAAGAAAAGGAGTGAAACCACGTGGGAATGTAAAAACTGTCGAGTTGCGTTACATGTACCTCATTGTTTTGAAAGATATCATGCAGTTGAACACTACTAATTTTCATTAAATTAACTAAGTATTAATTTACAAATTGCTATTGATTCATTATCCACTTTGAAATAATAAATTGTTTTTGTTAACTGATCAATTGATCATGATTACGCCCTAGACGTCTTAAAAATACTATTTGTCCCCAAACGTTGTTTATTATTTCACAATTCCTTTCGTTGCCCCGAAATATACATGTCATAAGAAGTATACATTTTGCGCCAGTTCGGGCATACGGCTGAACAGCTAAATGGCACGGCCACCGACCGACCTTCTTGTTTACTACGGCTCGCGCGTTCAGCAGATAGCGTATAGGCCAAGGGGTTAATGAATATATTATATTCAGTTCATACTTCTACTAACGCAATTCTATTTTCTTCTGTAAATGCATACATTGACTATTTAGTAAGTGTATACATTTACTAAACTGCACATTTTTACAGTGACATATACAGCATACAGAAATATAAAGCAACGGATTATTATACATACAAGTTATACAACCATGAGGAATGTGTTCTGGTATTACAAATAATCAAAATATTTCGTCAGTTTGAGCAGATTTCACCTTTGCTGTAATGAACTAGTCTGTGTGTCTGTATAGATAAAAAATGTTGTTCTTCTTCAAGTGGAACTTTTTGAAATACCTACTTATTTTATTCGGGCATTCTATATCACAGTACCAGTATAGTAAATTTTAACCCTTTGCACGTGGAATTTCCTAATTCCCCATATATTTTATCCCTTCAGAGGGGATAATCGAGTGTTAAGGGTTAATGTTGAAATAACAGTAAAAGCTATTACTGCAAATGTTTATGCAGACTCAGTTTTAAAAATTAATTTATAAAACTGAAAATTAGATAAAAATTTATTCCTTATGATAGGAATTGTATAATAACAATAATAATAATAATAATAATAACACAAATATAAATGAAATCATTATATTTACTTTATTGCATTTTACAGGTTCAAAAATGCTACAAGTGCATAAACATCTCAGTCTATTTATTACATATATGAGGAATGTAAATGTCAGTGACACCAGTAACTGATTTTATTATTGTAGTCAATAGTAATAAATGATTTTCTCATTAGAAATATTTATGAAGGTTAACTGTAAATTTATAATCATATGTGCTTCATTGCCCTTAATAATTTCATTTAATATTAGTTACCTGCATATTGATTGATGTAAATAGCATGTTTTTCAACATGATATATTCTAAATATTTGATTCAGAGCAAGCGAAATTTCAGGATCACTCATCCACACATTTATTGATGTTGGAGATTCTAGCATAGATAAATATACTAAAAATAACATGTATATCGTTTAACTCTAGTGAATAATGATGTTCCTATTTATATTATTACAATTCTTTTTGTACCTAAGAGCATTTTAGGATTTGTAAGACTAAGCTGAATATGTGGACTATTCATGATTGCTTTATAGACTGCATTATCAGGATTAAGACCTTCACCTAAATCTTGTAAACTGCGCCTCCGTTCACCAAGCAACCATTCACACTGAAAAACAGAATATTTTAAATATAAAATTCGAATAAAGTAACATCATGTTACTCACTGCATTAGTTTGATCATTTCCAGTAACTTTCAGTGCATCAATAATATTCTTTTCATCGAATCCCATTTCTAAAAGTAACTGTATTGCCTTAGGATTAGGTTTAAAGTCCATTTTTTTGTAATGATGGAAACTTTCTAGTAGAAGATCTACGATGCTGACTAAGTTTCCATCTTTCTTTAAACTTTGATTTTCTATATAATTGACAATTTATTTACATATAAGTATGAAATATGATTATGCACCGAGTTCTAAGTTTTAGTACTATTATTCACTAGTTTTGTCAACTGTGTATTGCTATATTGTACAGAGATTAAAAATTATATTTGGTTACTAGACGGGTACCTTCAAGTAATTCTGTACACGTATCCTTGAAAGATTTTTTTCTGGTACCAATAGATGAACTGGGGTCAGCAACATATTTATCATTGCCAGTTTCAAAAGTTAGTAAGTCTAAATCACTGTCATCTTCATTGTTGCCATCATCTTCTAAATCATTTTGATGGTCTATTAACCACTCCAATGCTTCTGTTACATTTGATCTATAATAAATTATAATACTTTACTTACAAATACAAAACCAAGTGATACAGTGTTGTACATAAGTTTCTTAGTTTTCTTAATTATTAAAATAACTTCATTTTATAGTACAATTTTTTACAGTAACTTATACATCATATGTACATTATATTAGTAAAAATTACTTACATTATCAGACATATTTTATGTAAATTATTCACAAACTCAATGATATGTACATACTTTTTCAAATGTAGAGCTTTTAAAACTTTCTTATGAGAGTAGCCCATTTCCATAAGGGTTTTTACAGCATTTGGATCAATAGTTGGTTTACACCTTGTTTTTAACTTCTCTTTTAACATTTCATATGACTTTTGTGCTTCTGGACTATACATTAAAATTTTTGCTGATGCTTTTACAAGTGATATTAAAATTTGTTCTATTTCATTCTGTACCTACAAAGTAAAATATGAAAGATAAGTTTCTTTTGTATGAAAAAAAAAAGTATTACAGTTATATATATTTACATTTGCAGGACATTTTATGGATGAAATGGGTCTAGGTGGATTAATTATAGGTAGACTACTAGTTTCTTGTAATATTACTTCCTCATTTGGACCTTTCAAATCTTCTTCAGTCAAATTTTCTTTAACAAGCACTGGACGGATTTCTACTAACATTAATATGTCTAAAACAGAGTATTTTATATTAGCGTCTTTATAGTTTTCAATTTATCTTGATGATTATTGTTAGATAAACATAAATAGAGCAAATATTATATTTTCAACTAGATGCTTCTGATATTTGAAAATAATTTTATAACTTGCTCAATTACACATGCAATGCATTTACAAGTTTTTTTAACCAAACAATTATTCTCTATCACTTTTGTAATTTTCCATTATAAATATTGACTTGATAATCTGCTCAGTTGTGTTTATTAAAGTCCAACTTTTATTTTATACAAAAACAAAATACAGATTATTATATAAAACGATTTTTTATGTTATGTCTTGAGAGTTCTTGAAGTCAAATGATTTTTATCAGATATATGTCTTGTTATAAATAATAATTCTGCTTTCTCTATGTATGAATTAAATATACATATGTATATTTAAGTTGAGATATTACCATGTTCATTAATTTGCTCGTCGTGTATATTATTATCATCTGTAAGCTGTTTAAATTTAGTTGAATGTATTAAATGGAATTGAGATGGTAGTTTGGTCTTATCATGGCCATAAAAATGCTTTATTACAATTGTCTTAGTTTTCTCAATTGTAAAATCTGGTTTTACTGTAATATTTGCAACATTACCTTCAAGGCTAAATAAAATACAATTAATTATTTATCAATAACTTTTAATTATTATTTATTATATTTAAAGATATTGTACCTTATAATGTTAATTGAAAGACTTTTGGTTGATATGGGAAGTGCCATAAGTATTGTTATTTCTTTGAAAATTCTCAGATTTGTTAGCAACAAATACCAAAGATTTCTTTCACTTCAACTTGATAGACCAGGCTCTTACAATAAACTTCCTACATTTGTGGAAATATGACATACAATACATAGTACAAACATATAATCAGTATTTCTGCTTTAACTACTTAAATATAATATTTGAAAACTAAAATCAATACGTTGTACTTCTTTCGTACATTATACACCAAACATAATTAAAAAAATTTTTATTTTGTATTCAAGTAACATATCACACATGGAAAACTTATTAAATTAATATTCAAATAAGAATTCGTGTTTAGATCTGCTTTTATACAATAACAGAGGTAAAACAGAAAGTACTGAACCAAATGTGAAATGTAAAACAATCACTGTTTCGAATTATACCGAATACAAATAATTATTTATGAATCTTTTTTTCGAAAATTACGATGATTAATTTACATTTTTTTATTAACACTACACGCAATTTTACATAATAGTAGGAGATAGTAGGCGGGGTATGGATACTCAATGTAGTATTTTGTTAACGTGGCGAGTACCCTCTAGCGGACTGGTTTATCAATTAAATTGCTATAGACTACTCGATACGAGTCCTTTTTTGCGATACCTATTTGGTATGGCAACGGTACTTATCGATACCAAAAGTACTCGGTATCGAAACAAAAGTATTGAGTAATGTATTTACTTGTATCGATTCATCCCTACTGGAGGGCGATGAGGAGTAGGAATGCTCTACTACAGCCGTAGGAGAATCCCCCACTAACAGCTCCATTAAAACGAGAGAAAAGTTACTCCAGTTATTGTCTTCTCTTTCTAGTGCTGACTTCATCCTTACCATAAGACCGCGCAGTCTATTATATATGTCTGTATATGTCTATGGTCCAGCCCTGGTTTTCGGAAACAAGTGTGGTAATAAGTTTGACTCCTCCGTGAAGCGATTTTAAAAATAATCGCGGAGAGGTTGCTCATTCTCAATAAAGAATCCATTTTTTACAATAATTTCAAATACAATTTCATCTGTACAAAATGGTAAGCATTCTGTAGTTAACATTCATTTGAATGTATACGTTAGAGGTTACGTTTCACACGTGAATTTTACTTATATCTAATTAAATGTATATCACTTTGAAAGTTTACAAAAGATAGATAAATTTATTTTTCTAATAATTAATATTTTTTGTACAGGCTGATGAAGTTAATCCAAGGGCATACCCTTTAGCAGATGCTACTTTGACTGCAAAAATCTTGAATTTGGTACAACAAGCAATGAATTATAAGCAGTTAAGGAAAGGAGCTAACGAAGCAACAAAAACATTAAATCGTGGCCTGTCAGAATTCATTGTAATGGCTGCAGATGCAGAACCTTTAGAAATTCTATTACATTTGCCATTATTATGTGAAGATAAGAATGTTCCATATGTATTTGTTAGGAGTAAACAAGCTTTAGGACGTGCTTGTGGAGTATCTAGACCTATTGTTGCTTGTTCTGTCACAGTTAACGAAGGTTCACAACTAAAACCACAAATTCAAGCAATACAACAAGAAATTGAACGACTTTTAGTCTAAGTTTGTACCTGATTTGAAGCTTCTTTAAATTCCGACTTTATATTACAGTACATATATTTTTTGACATAAAATTTAAAATACTTTTAGAAAATAAGCTACATATAATTCACATAATGCGATATATGTATCAATTTCATTAATAAATATCTAAATGATAAATATCATTTACAAAATTAAATAATGTATAATAAATATATAATCTAACAATTAAACAATTTTGTATTATTAACTCTTTACAATGTGACTCGAAGTCGTGTACATATAAATTCATACCATTGTATAACATTCATGAAAGTACATCATTCAGAAAAATAAAAGTTTCTTTTTGTTAAAAATGTGTGCATTAACGCAATGCTAGACAATGTCTCTCAGTAAGGATGCCAGAAATGACCCCAAATGACCCCCTCGAATTAATGAATTTTGTAAAAAATATGAGTCTTGTCTTAAGTAGTCTAAGAGACCTTATAGTAATCAGAAACTGTGCATAAAACTACTTTTATGGAATACAATAATTAAAAAGTTATAGAGAAGAAATTTGTTCTTATGTTTATTATATTTACATACGTATATATACTTAATTATTATATGACTATTTACTGTGTAGTTTTTCAATACAAATACTGAGCTGTTGAAGACGATGTAATAAATGTCGCATATTAGCACTTGAATGTCGAAGACCCGATTGTTCTCCACTGATATCTTGTCTTTGACCTAACTCAAAGTGAAGCCTAGCTAATCGTTCTTGTTGTTCCCGTATTTCTGTCATTTGCTCCATACTACAATCTTTGCCTAAATTGAAATTATACAGTTTAGAATAGTGTTTTGCCAATAATATAATATAATTGACTATAAAATATAAATTTGACATACCAAATGCACGTAAATTACCACTATGAAAATCTTCGAGAAGTTGTAATAAAGCCTGCTCCATACGTCGAACATCAGGAACCTCTGATAAAAAGCAATGATGTTTGCATGGCGCCATACCTTTATTTTATAATACCAAAAAACAACTAAAGAGCGGGTAAATGTAGAAAATAAATAACTCTAAACTTATAATAAAATATAGTATAATGCAAAAACTAATGTGAATCATTATGAAGTAGTGTAATACAAAAATGATATACTGTATATTGCTTGAAATAAAGTTAATATAAAGATATTAGTTTTTAAAGACAAAGAAAAACAATATAGTCAATGAGAGAATAATGCAGTATCACATATTCATGTAAAAGAAGCACGAAGTAAAGAAACGCAAATTAAAAAGGAAATAAGTTTCAATATAAACAGAAAAAATGAAAATACTAAAAACACATAGGAAAAGCATAAAAGAAAATCAATTCCCTGAAGAAAAGAAGAAAAACAGAACAATGGCAGATTACTAGCACCAACTAGATTTAATGGAATGTAGTAATACCTTCTAAGTGAAAACCTAAAGTTTATACATATTTACTCTTTATGTTATTCTCAGAGCATTCCCCTCATCATTGTGATAAGGGTTCGTAACATAGGTTCTAAGCTATATAAAGTAATAGATGTAGACACTCAATAACATACAAGATATTTAACAATAAAAATCACGTCTACTTAGATAATAGATAAAGTGACGTTAATTAATTAATTTCATTAATTTGTTAGTTTCCTTAACAACAGACTTGGAATTAGAGCAGTTCAATTTACTCAAGAATGTTTGGTCAGCACTGGGGGTAGATAATGTAAGATATATATGGTGCGCTACAATTCTGATTGGTCTAAATAAGAGGTAAATTTTAAAGTACTTCTGTACCTTATATGTATATTACCTTTATGTTGACGATTAAGTTTTGATGACTCTGGGCGAGTTGGTCGTTGTCTTTCCTTTTCATTCATGTAACTTAGACGAGACTGATTGCCATAATTTGAAAGATTCACAGCTCTGCCCGAAACCATAGATCCTTGACTTGTTGCTTGACCAGAACTTCCTTTACTAACAATTGGTGATATTTCCGTATTACTTTCCCATAGTACTTGTTGCTGAAATAATATTTTAAGCTGTACAGTATTTCATTGAAGAATTTATCCGTATAGTATAAAAACTAATTATTTATCTTTAGTATAATAAAAATTACAAAGACAGTAATATCTCGTATAACGCGGTTAATTGGTTTGAAAAAAATTTCTCACTATAAAAAATGACGTTAATCAAAACATTATTGCATGCAATGAATTATTTCTTGTATTTTATCAAATTGATACATTATCGGCCTTTAATTACGCTTTGTAATACCTTACCGACGTTCAATCATTTGCCCAAACAAATGAAAAACATCGACTCATACAGCCGTGCTAATAATCGTTTGTGTGTAGATTTGTTTCAAAAGTATTACAGTGATTCCTCGATGAATGCGACACAAACATCGATGTTATTTCCACTACTGGGAGGGTCCCCTTTTGGAATTAATCATACCAGAGTAAACAGAAGCTAAGCAGAGGCTCGGCTTCTGTTAAAAAATAAATTTATAAGGGGCTGAAAATCCTTCTGCCTTACCATGGTTACTCGGAAGCGGATCCGAGTACGTCGCACTCATCGAGACTTCACAAGTGTTGTGGCAAACTCTAAATGAACTAAAATCTTGTTATAGGAGACACTACTGTATTTACAGTAGCTAAGCATATTTAGCCAATTAGTTACTTTATTATATTCTTTATATGAAAACTATTTGAAGCTAGTATAAACTATATTAATTACCAATTTAAATTGGAAAGCAAAGGGACGAAAGTTTCCAGACATGTGGCTTAATTATGATAAATAATATAACATTTATTTTACTATAAATGTGTGTAACGTCACTTGTTAATATATTCAATGTCATAGCGATTTCACTGAATATCTTTCTATTCTTCGTATAATGTAACTTTTCAACAACTTAATCGTATACTATGTAACTTTTAATGGAGGTGAAAGAATAAACCAGTTGCATATGCATGTTGAGTACAGAATATCTCAAGCATACAAAGTCATTATGCGTGGCTGGAAACTTCTGTGAAGTACTTTCATAGTTAAAAATTACAAAATATACAAAAAAAACAATTAAAAAATGCGTACTGATACATGAGAACTATGTGTATCATTTTTATTTGGATGCTTTGACCTCGCTGGTGTTGAAGGTGGTGTTGCTTCTCCACCAGGACATAGTGGCTCTTCACATTCCTCTTCTTGAACTAACTGTTGCAGTTCACCACATCCAGGCTTTTCAGTCATTTTTATAAACCTTTTTGTAGTTATTAAGGTCTACTATTTTGATACTGTAATATGAGGTATATAAATTGTTTAGTACTTTTTGTAGTTATTAAGGCCTACTATTTTGATACTGTAATATGAGGTATATAAATTGTTTAGTACTTTTATAATAGCTTAGTACCTTTTTTCTTCACATTTTTGGTACAGTTCTGTAAAATCCCAATGTACAAATCTATAATGTATTTCAATTCAATATAACATGCACTTAAAAGCATATGCCTGTTGCTGTTTCTAATTTTATTAATTTCAAAAGATACAATTTATATACTTGGTGGACAATGTATAATAAATTTGTAAATTTTTTGGTGACTGCCAGAATCCTTTTTAAAACTTGGGATAACCCTTTTTACAGAAATTTGAGACAGGTAGACCACAAAGATTAATCAAGGGCATAGGAAGTCTACTTTTACGTAGCTTCCATTAGACTTATTGTACTACACATTTTTCTTTGTTTCTTGCACTGAACCTCACTAAACCCATGAACCCTAAACTCACTTAGTTCATTATATACCTACCTATGTCCAGTGATGCCAGGACGTGGGATTTTCTCCCACATGGGAGCCTTCGTGCGCATGCGCATGCTGACGTCACAGCTCGACGGCGGTTGTTTCCATGGATGTATCTATGTGCAACAGTAGGTACGCGTAAGGGGCCCTTCC